CCACTGACCTCCTTTCTGTTAATTCTTGGTTTCTGCAGAAGAGTCCAGGATGCTGGAATTACGTGCAGTAAGCCATTACATGGTTTATTTGTATCTAGCTTAAAGTAAATTATGTCGTCATACAAAATATGAATAATCACTGGAATATTTTCTTGTTGCTAAATCTACCAACAATTGCTTTTTCTTTCTCATCAAATTAATGCCACCAATCTCAACATGACATTCTCTGGATGTGCATAAATTCCACATTCTGCAAATTGCCCCGACCCTGGCCTGTTGTGACAATAAGAGATGTAATCTATCCTCATCTGAAGGTCAGATTGAGAAAGCTGGTATACTGTATATTGATGCAATTCACTACTCAGTCATTTATATAAATATGAAAGCTACAGTTAATTGCATAACTGGAAAAACACTGCAGGCCTAGTGTTTGTAAATGGGATGAAACAAGAAATCATGTTTTAATATTTGTTTAATAACCAAATGGTTTAATAAACCAATAACAAATATTTGTTTTAACATTTATTAATATAAACCAATAAAAATAAAAAAAATTGCTAATATAGTAGTGGCCAAAATTGTGGAAACCTTTTGGGAAAAGTGTACAGTAGAAAAGCCACCTTTGGTTAAGTTTCCACCAATTTTTCTTCTAATTTCTTTATAACCGTAGCCTTGTTCACTTAATAATACTATTTTACATCACTTTCTGAGCAACCAGTCAACTCTTTGCACCAGTACTTTAATTTTATTATGTTTTACAAGCTCACTAAATGAAAGGAAAAAAACCCAACCAACTTCATAGCGATCACATAACACACTGACAAATGTCCTCCTCTCAGCTTCAATACATGACATCAATAAGTGAATCCTACTGTGATCTGATTGGCTCATTGCCAAAACAAGATGACACCTCATTGGCTACAATCAGATGAAGGAAAGCTATCTGATATCAACCTAAGCAAGTTGTGCTTCCTTTTCCTGGTTATTTGGCTATAACTTTTCATAGAATACAGTACAGATAATCAAACAAACTTTGTTGCATTACATTCTTGATTAAATTACCTTTCTATTGATATATAATTTAATGGTACTACTCCCCCCCAAAAAGTGGTGTTATTAGCCATTAAACCACAAAAATACACTTTTCCCAAAAGGTTTCCACAGTTTTGGCCACTACTGTATATGGAATAAGTCAAGCAATATTTTTCATTTGAATCTCTCTTTTTTTTTAACCTTCTCAGCTTTATTGCCTCAACTTTATCTTTTTGTCAAATTTCCTTCTACAGATAATCTTCCACTTATGACTTGTCACTGCATGACCATTCGACGTTATGACAGACCCATGAAAAGCTACTTACAATCAGTTTTGAAGTTACCACTGCTGCAGGACCATGTGGTTGTGTGAACAAAATTCAGGCAGATTCATCCTTATGATCAACTGCAGGGTGACACAGCCCAACACCCCCACAATCATCTCCCCTCCATTCTGCCTCGCTGATCTCTTCAGGTCCTGGGCTTGTTTCTCAGCCCCCTGGGTCCTATACCCTCCTCCCCACTGACTGCTTGCTTACTTGCTCTTGAGCTTGTGTTGGGAAAGCAGAGGAGGCTGCTCTATCCCTCAGCATCCTGTCCCAGAAGTAGACAGCATTTCCAGAATGTCCCAATGAATTGTGGCCATCTGAAAATGGCAGCTACATCTGGGACAGTGCCACATCGCCTGAAGGGATACCGAAGGGTGGGATAGCCTGCTCTCCTTTCACAACATGAGCTCTCACGCTCTATGGAAACTGAGTGATTGGTGATGGAGTATGAAGAGGAAGTAGGACCCGGTGGGCTGGGCTGTGGACTCCCTAAAGGACAGGAAGCAGATCACATGGTCCTCATGGGCTGTGGAAGGCATTAGGAGGCCTCCCAAGGCCTTCCCCATCTGAGATATTCTGTGCTCTGCTTAATGACACATGCAACCACTTAATGACTGCGAGAGAAGGAATGGGGGTTAAGTAAGGCAGTTAAGCAAGATCCGCAACATGCTTAATGACTGCAACAAATTGCAATTGTAATAGGCAGGCTCCATTATGGCAGTAAGTCTAGGACTACCTGTACACACTTCTCTTGAGCCTAATTATGTCTTTTTTATTATCCTGGCAGTACTGTTTTGTTTATAATTTTTCCAAGATTGGTTTTGTTGACAGAAAAATCTTCAGGGTTCAGTCCAATCCAGGAATAAACAAAATGGAAACTGCTTGGGAAAGAAGGTTATGTTTATTGAGGAACAGAACAGAAACAGCATGCAGTTCTGGTTCAGCTGACCAAGATAGAGAGTGTGGGTTTTATACCTTCTGATTGAGATGCTTCAGGGGATTGTGCCATGTAGTGAGCCTTGTGTCAATGGTGGTGGGTTAATCCTATTTTATCCTACAGGTCATGTCTTTAGACTTTGGGTGGAGGATGTAGATGTTTGGGGTCTTTGTCTTTCTAATCCCATCAGCTTCAAGGTTCCTGGCCCCCATCTTCCTGAATGAATCACCAAATCTGCATTTCTAAAAGCTGGTTTCTGCTTGGGGCAGAGAGATTTGGGGTGGGGTGGATTCTGCCTAAGATTTTCTATTTCTTTGTGGAAATATAATATTCTGCTATTTTAAATATCCCCCAAAATATTTCCTTTTCTAGGAAAGGGGGGTGCTGACTTCTTACGGTTTGTACATTAACACCATCAGTGAAGCCTTGGTTAAATTGTTGGATTATGACTGGGGGAGATGCAGGTTTAAGTCCCTGTTGAATTACAAAAACTTCCAGGGTAATTTTGGGCCAGTTACCACCTTTCATCCCAAACTACCTCACACTATTGTAGTGGGGAAAAATAGGAGTGAATACTTAATACACCACTTTGGGCTTGTAAAAAGATATAAATTTAATAAATAAAAATAATCAACTTCAAAATTATAAAATGGAAAGTAGTATATTACAATAATCTATTCAACACTTGTTCCCTGAATTGTTTTTAAAAGGAATGTTGATACGGTGGCTAGACAATTTAAACACAAAGTCCTGCTGCAATAATATCTTGCAATATCTTCTTCAATAGCAAAAAAAATATTTGTACCAGAGAATAATGTGCATAGCATAAACACTATTTTCTCAAATTGCCTATTGTACTGCTTATGCTCAGAACATAAACTCTCGCAAGTGTGCTACTATAGAAAAACAATTTAACATAAATGAAAGGTGGACTGCTTTTTAAAAAGTGCAGATGTGAACTGAGACGTGCTCTACATTTCAGAGCAAAATAATTGCAAAACAGAAGACAAGAAAAATCAGTAAGTTTTTTTTAATGAACCCATTTGCCTGTTTTGTTCTTCTTCAAGTGCCTGACAATGAACTTTTTAAAGTGGGGACATCTTCAAGCAAACTGCTTTGCAGACCTTCAACTGCAATTAATTTATAAACTTAATCATCTCCTAAATCAGTGGTTCTCAACCTGTGGGTCGGGACCCCATTTGGGATCGAACAACCATTTCACGGGGGTCGCCAAACAAGGCTGTCCGCCATTTTTTTCCCCCTTTTCTTTGGCCACGCCCCTGGCACCCGGTGATGCATAAGTGGTTGGGGGTCACCACAACATGGGGAACTATATTATGGGGTCATGGCAGTAGAAAGGTTGAGAACCACTGTCCTAAATCAAGCAGTTAGTTTTAACTGGTAGAAAAATATACTGTGGTTTATACAGAGACCGGAATCCAGGGAAAAGTAGTGAATAAGAAACTCTTTCCTTTGTCTCCCATTATTTTCATTTGGAAATTTCATTTAAACATAAGTGCCAATGCCTCAGTGTCCAATAGCAAGGATTAGCAGCAACAAAGAATATTTTGGCTTCTAAAATTAAAATCACAATCCATGTCAACTCCTTTGCATGCGGAGGAGAAGAAGAAGTTGGAAGGGACTTAGAGGTCATCTAGTCCAACCCCCTGCTCAGGCAGGAAATCCTATACATCAATCCTATGGAATTCAATGTGCCTATTCCTAGAATCCCTACTGTCCTGAAATCCCTTTTGGAACAATCTGATTAAGGTTAGTAGAATTTTAACTTCTGAGCAAACGTCTTTAAAAATATAAAACATCGGCTTCTTAAAAAAGGAACCATTGAATGTAAATACTTCAGTTTTTGCAAATGGAAAAGCAGCTTCTTGCAAAGCGGACTGCCGTTCCCTGCTTACGGAACCATCTATAAATAAAATGCTGCCTGCTCCCATTCTCCTGAAGAAAAAGGCAGCCTGTAAGTTTTTGTTTTCAACCCGAGGCCAGAAGGAGGGCTGCCACAGCTTCGAAGAGGCCGCCGCCGCCGCGCTCGCCCCGGCCCCATGTGGCTGCGACCCAGATGTGGCAGAAGCGGAGAGGGGAGGAAAACAAGCCGTGAGGACAGAGCCCAGCGCGCCGCACGAGCTCCAGAAGCATTACTCACAGTGGGCGGGGCTTCGAAGGGAGCCCGCGTTGTTGCTGGAGCGCAGCGGGAACAGCGATGTCAACCCACCCAAGCCGCGTCTCTACACGCGGACACGCCCCCTCTCTAGAGCTTCCCTCTTCCTCCCTCCCCCCCTCCTCCTGGGCATTCCCTGGCTGGCCGCCGCTCACTGACAGACGGCCGCCCCGCCCTTCCCCGGCGCTGCCGGCCCCGCCTTCCCTCTCTCCTCGCGCCGACCTTTCCCCTAGTTTCCAGAGGGTGGCTCGACTTGGCCGCCGCCGCCGCCGAACGTGCCCACGAGGGTCCTTTCCTGCTATCAGCATAGCTGCACGAGGCTATCACGCCGCCCGAGGAAGCCCATTGGCTGGCCAAGAGGCAGCTCTGGTCGTGATTGGCGGAGCCCTTCTTCCCATCCCCTTTCGTTCTTTCCTCCTCCTCCTTCCCCGCCCCTTCCCAGCTGCTTTGCTGGATGGAGTGTTTTGGTGTGCTTTCCTCTGTTTTGGCTGCTCGCCTCCCTGGAAGGAGGGGCGGGCGGGCGGGCGGGAGGTGGTTCTGGCCGATTGCTTCGGCTGGCTTTGTCATATCGCTGCTGCTGCTTGCGGGAGCCCTCACCATGCACACATCTCCTTGCAGCGAGGAGATGGGAGATGCCCCTTCGGTGAGTACCACTTGTTGCACGGTGCGGGATGGGGACGCGGCAGGCAGAACAGGGATCCTCTCTCAATACCTTCCGGAGCCTGAAGAGGCTCGACGTGACGTGCCCTCTCTCCCCCTTTGAATTCTGATCGGATCGGCGTGACTTTCCCAGGAACGAGGCATCCGGGGGAGCAGAGGCCAAGCTGCTGAGGCACCTCGGGAGAGAGCGGAGCAAACGGGCTAACCCCAGGCTCTCTCTTTTTTATGCGCAAATGCAAATCGGGGGGCGGGGGGGGTGATCGAGACCCCGAGGTGAGGGGCGCGAGAAATACCGGAGCGCGCTCTCCTTGGGCCCCGGAGCTCAGGCAGCCTTGCCCTCTTCGTCACCCGCGGTGGGACCGCTAATCCGGCCGGGAGCGACCCTTCTGATTCACCTTTTCCTGGCGCTTGCTCTCTAGGAACTCGAGCGGGGGTGGCCCCTCCAACTTATCTGGAGCCAGTGACGTGTATGAATTGGGGAGGGGGGGAATGCCGAACGCCGCATCCTTCAAGCCGCCCCGCTTGGAAGACTAGATTTAAGCGAATATTGGGGGATCCGGTGGATGCTTCTCGTTCTCCCAGCCAATTCCTAGGCATGCTTACTTAGAAGTAAGTCTGAGAGTGAATCGAGGACTGCAGTTTTATTGGCTGGGGGAGGGGGGCGGTGAGGCTTTGCTCTGGGCATAGACCTGGCTAGATGGCTGATGTGGGCAGAATAAAGTGTTTTAGCATGAGTAATCTAAGCTGACTGTGATCCATAGTTGCTTGCTAATGGCATGACTTCATGCCCTGGAGATTACAGTAAGTGCTCTTCTTTCAGCTGGTAGGTTGGGAGGGGCATCCTTATCTTCCCTCCCTCCCTCTCTCTCTCTCTCACACACACACACACACAGAGAAGAGAGCTGCTTTGTTGCGAGTGCCTCCCAAGAGAAAGTGTCTCTGCTCTTGTCAGGATTCCCTGCCCTCTGAGCTGTCTGCTTTGAGGACAGAGCTACTGTGCCTTCAGAGGGCTTTCCAGCACTGGCTCAGTCAGGGACCACCACCCATTTTGCTCACATGGCTATTTTGATGCATGACGTCTCCCCACTTCTTCCTTTCTCTACACCCCCACCCCAAACCTTCAACTATATTTGGTTACTTTGGATCCCATGGAGGTGGGAAGTAACCCTCCCTGTCTCCTTTAGGAGAAGGTGTTTTGCCTCCTTCTGGTCTTGCAGTTTTGACTAATCTTCATGTCAATCGCACTTGCCATCCTCCTTTTTCCTTAAAGCAGAATAAAGAAGTGGGCATATGAATAGCGTGGGAAGGGGAAATAAATGTTTTATATACATACATATACATATACATATACATACATACATACATACATACATACATACATACATACATATATATATATATATATATATATATATATATATATATAATAGCCGTTATATAAGAATATTTGTTTGCTGTTGAGTACAATGAAGTAGAATTTCCGATCTTTGTGCAGCTAATAATTTGCAGCCGCTTCTTGCATAGTGTGTCATTTCCTCCAGTTTGCCACTGCAGTGTCTGGGTAAAAGGAGGTGATCTGAGGACGCACTAAGGAGGCGGTTGCATTTCTGTATGGAAATGAGGCCCCAGCTTGCTTTTTCCTTTTTTTTCTTCCTTCCTTTTTCTGTCTTGGGTTACAAATCTATTTTAGATTTCAAAATGTTCTAGCTAGCTGTTTTAAAAAACCTTCTTCTCAATGTTTGTTTTCTCCAGTAGTATCATCTTGGAAAACACTTCTATAATTAAAAAGAAGATCCCCTTGGGTTAATTATTTATATTGCTTAATATTATGGTAACTTCTGCTTCATGGTAAATCTGTTAATAGTTAGATGATTTACAGATTCTGTTTGGGATCATTACCCTGAATTTAGCATTAAATAATAACATCAAACATTAATTGAATGAATGTCAAGTTTACTTTTAATCTTCTTTCACTCTCAAGTGTTAGCTTCATTTATGGACTTGGAAATTACAATTTAAGTTAATTGAAAATTCCATATAGATTTCACCAAATAAAAGATATTTTTGGCTTCACATATTATGAATCAAAAATCTACTCTATTTGGTGCCCACCTGTAGTCTGCTTGTGTGAACTTAAATACTATGATTAGCAACTTTTTTCACTGTATATACACGCAAGCCTATTTGGTTACATCTGGATTTACCTACATACAGCAAGCTATTAAGAGATAGTTTGTATACTTCAGTATTTACTCAAGTGTCTATATGATATCTATAATTAGTGTAATGGGGCATGAAAAGAATATCTGTTCTAAGTAGTCTTATGAGGCTTATTACCAACTGCTGATTACGTTTTTTTCTACTAGTATTCAGTGCAGTTAATAATTATAGTCTTTTTAGTTACAAAGGTAGCATTTAGTTAATAACATTTGATCATAGCCTATAAAAGGGGAATTTATTTATTTATTTATTTATGAGACTTATATACCGCTTTAAGTGCAAGCACTCTCTAAGCGGTGTACACCAGTAAGCAATGTATATATATATTTATATTGCCCCCAACACTCTGGGTCCTCATTTTACCTACCTCGGAAGGATGGAAGGCTGAGTCAACCTTGAGCCGGTGAGATTTGAACCGCTGACCTGCTGAACACAGTCAGCTAAGTGATTTAATTAAATGCATTTAATATCATTGTTCCCTCAGTATTATAGAAATTTTCACTTTCGTTCAACATCACAGGTTGGCTACAGGTTTTGATGGATTCTGAGGGATGTTTTGAGGTCTTTGGGGTGTCACATGCTACCCTGGGACTAGAGGTTGTAGATATTTTAGTACAGATAAAAGTCAAGTGCTCAAAAGCCTACTGATTTAGGCTTATTCTGTGTTTTGTGATCCTGTGATAAAAATGACAAGGAGTTAATGTGCAGGTTTTTAGACCAAAGGTTGTCTAGCAATTATCAAAATGCAGGAAAGCCACCAAGGGTTGTGGCAGCTATGTGCACAAGCCTGCTTTGTGAGAGATTGCTGCATTATACAAAGTTAATTGATTAGCCCTTGTAGCCTAATGGGTAGGGGTTTTCTAGAGGTCTTAAAAACCAGCATTGGCACCCAGATTTCCAAAGAGGTTGGATATTGAATCATAAGCAAACAGTGAAAATGTATTCACTTTTTTTCTGAATGATTAAAATGTGGTGATTCATCTCATCTCAAGGTTGATATTGTCGACATCTACGAATCCATCCGTGAACGGAGGCGTCACGACAGTGAAAGATCTACTTGTAGCACCTTGGAACGGAATGACATAGAAGCAGTTGAGACTCTTGTTTGTATGAGCTCCTGGGGTCAAAGATCACAGAAAGTCGACCCATTAAAAATAAGACCTTTAACGCCTGTCTCAGATTCTGGGGATTTTGTAGGGCAGAATGAACCTACATCTGAGATGCCCAAGGATTATAACTTTTTATCCACTCTGGTAAGGAAAAAGAAGCAAACTTTGTGAAAGAAATTGAATATGCATGAATTGGCTTTCCCCAATTAACCTTATAGTGCTTTATTGCAAGGCTTTTCAACCAGTGGTACGGGTACCACCTGTGGTACATTGGCACCCGGCAGGTGGTACGTGACCATCGTAGAAAAGTGGTAGCGGTGGAGGGAAATGAGCTGAACCGGTGGCAGCACCACGCAAGCCTGAGCGAGAGATGGCTGGAGCTGCAGGGCTGTCAGGGCTCAGCGGAAGCGCCGGGATCAGTGCCGCTTTCCAGCTGATCGGCGCTTCTTTGGGACTGTCAGGGCTCAGTGGAAGCGCCAGGATCAACGCCAGGCTTCAGCTGGAGCTCGGCGCTGATCCTGGCGCTTCTGCTGAGTCCTGAAGAAGCACCAATCAGCTGGAATGTTGCCTTATCTCCAGGGTCTTGTGATTTACATTCAGATGTGTGGCAACTGATTCATATTTATGATGGTCACAGTGTCCCAGGGTCATGTGAAGGGACCAAAACCTGCTGCAACCACCCATCAGAGGGGGGGGATAAAAACCACACACATCCCACCCCACCTCTGTTGCCAATCCTCAACAGAAATGCTCACAACAATTGAAACCTTGAACAGGAGGAAGAGCACCGCCAGGTGGGCAGGCAGGTGTCTTGCTCAGCTGTGGCATGGGGAGCACTTTTTTCAGTGCCATTGAACAGTCACTAAGTGAACTATTGTAAGTCGAGGACTACCCGTACTTCCTCACTTTTTCCTTTTTTTTTTTGGGGTCATCAAGTTTTTGACACCTTGCTAGGCGACTGGTGGTACTCGGATATTGCCGTATCCTAAAAGTGGTACAATGAGTGAAAAGGTTGAAAAGCCCTGCTTTATTGAACTTGAGGGATGATGACTTTTTTTATAATGGGTATCAGATATTTTTTACAGTATTATACATACCTTTTTTTTGGCAAATGCAATTGAAAACAATCTGGTGTTAATTGTTTTAGTTTATTAACTCCCATGTTTTTCTGATTCCCCATTAACTTTATTTAAGACAAAACATTTACAGCAAGGACATGGGGAAATCTGAACTGAATAGTTGTTGCATGATTTTCTGAAGCAGATGGATGAGATTGTTCCACTGAACTGCAGCAAGACATAGGAGTACATCTGAGAGTATTGCTTTTCAAGCACCATAAGATTGTGATTTTGGAAGGACGAATGTTGGAGCATGCAACTATAGGACAATAGAATGAAGTGAAAATAGGAAATTGGGGTAAACATTCTTTCACATTGTAGTTTGAAAAAAAAAATCAGTATCTTGAGGTCTGAATGAGAGAGTATGGATTACGAATGTAATTAGTTATGGCCATAGCAATGGTTAGTCACGTTGATCTGTGTGTGTGCTGATTTCTTTCTTTTTCCTTTTTAATGTAGTGCATGACCCCACCATACAGTCCAGATTTTGTTGAGCCTTCTACAGCGTCACTGCCCTCCTCCCAAACAACTTACTCAAAACCTAGGGCAATCAAGGCAAGCGTACCTGCCAGCGTAGTCACTCCTCCAGGTTGTACTCTTACTGCTACCCAGCCATCTGTTTTGAACATGGAGAAGCAATCCAACCAGATGCCAGCAAGGACTGAGCAACCTGTTCCCCCGCTTTGCAGAGCTATGGCAACTAGTGTGATCCGTCACACAGGCAACAGTTCTGGTTACTCCCACATTCCTGGTGTGCAAGTGAAACCAGAAGTTTCATCGGGCAACAGTGGGTCTGCAGACTGGCAGGAGGCCCAAGGCCAGCAACATTCCAGAGCTTCCCGGGACTGTCATATTGCAGAGAATTTGACTTGTGACACTTCACTTGCACACAGATCTTCCTCACACGTCTCAGGTTGCTCTAGAACTGCCAATAAAGGATGTGAAATTCCAAGGCTTGCTTTGCAGCAGTCTCTTTACCCAAAGAATTGTGAGCATGATATGCAGCAAAAGACCAGCCCCCTTCTACCCTCCCCTCTCTCAAATCCACAGGTGATCTGTCAAATGATCCCCTTCGATGGATCAAGAGGTATGGTCCCTGCCCTATTAAAACCTTCTGCTCAGACTGCAGGAACCGTCAAACGCATCTTACCCCACGCGGCTCCAGTTTCTCAACCTGTCCTGATGGGACCTTCTATGCCTCAGGGGACTGTTATGTTGGTTCTTCCGCAGGCAGCTGTTGCCCAGGCACCCCCCTGCCAACAAACTGTGATGTCTGTGGGGAACACCAAGTTATTGCCTCTAGCCCCTGCTCCAGTTTTTATTGCCTCTGGTCAGAGCAGTACGCCTTTGATAGACTTTTCCCGGAGGAGGAATTACGTTTGCAACTTTCCTGGCTGCAGGAAAACATATTTCAAAAGCTCTCACCTCAAAGCCCATCTGCGTACTCATACTGGTAGGTATGGAACTGAAGGAATGTGGTGTGCCTTATAATCTCACTGACGATGCTTGCCAGGCATCAAAAATGAACACCGAGATTGTGGTGGCATGACATTTCCCTAGTATTCTTCACCAACCTGCTGCTCTCCAGATGTGGCATTCAGTTTTTAGAATTGTGGAAATATAATTCCACTGTATATTCATGGGGAAGCTGAAAAACCATGCAAATACCTCTGATTTAGAGGCAAAGGAAGATGTTCAGGCATGGAAAAAAAGCGCAGTCGAATCTTTACACAATATAGAGAAGGAAAGGAGGGTATTTAATAATAATAATATAATAATAATAATAATAAAAATTGGAAGGGATCCTGGAGGTCATCAAGTCCAACCCCCTGCTCAGTCAGGTAATCCTATATCATTTTGGACAAATGGCTGTCCAGTCCCTTCTTAAAAACTTCCAGTGTTGGAGCATTCACTGCTTCTGGAGGCAGGTTGTTCCACTGGTTAATTGTTCTAACTGTCAGGAAGTTTCTCCTTGATACTACGTTGCTTCTCTCTTTGATTAGTTTCCACCCATTGCTTCTTATCCTGCTTTCAGGTGCCTTGGAAAATGGCTTGACTCCCTCTTCTTTGTGGCAGCCCCTGAGATATTGGAATACTGCTATCATGTCCCCCTTCGTCCTTCTCTTCGTTAGACATACCCAATTCCAGCAGCCATTACTTATATGTTTTAGCCTCCAGTCCCCTAATCATCTTTGTTGCTCTTTTCTGTACTTTTTCTAGAGTCTCAACATCTTTTTTACATTGTGGTGACCAAAACTGGATGCAGTATTCCAAGTGTGGCCTTACCAAGGCATTGTAAAGTGTATTAATACTTCACGTGATCTTGATTCTATCCCTCTGTTAATGCAGCCTAGCACTATGTTACAGGTTCCTTGACTTTACAGGTTCCTTGACTTAACTATAGTAGAAGCAGTAGATGAAAAAAAAACCACATTGATACTCCCACAACTAAAAAACGTTCCATGGTGGAATGTTCTAAAGGATTGACTTCAGAATGGTCCCCTTTCAAGATCAAACCACTTTGAGAATGTTTGGAATGGCCTGTGGAGTTTTTTAGAACATCTCGTAACAAAATGCTTAGCGTACCTCTAAATCTCTCCAATAGGAGCACAAAATAAACTCATAACTTTCCATTGATACTAATAATATGTCAATACTACAAGTAGTCCTTGACTTACGACCGTGATTGAGCCCCACATTTTTGTTGCTGAGTGAGACAGCTTTGAGTGAATTTTGCCCCATTTCCTGACCTTTGTTGCCATCATTGTTAAGTGAATCACCGCAGTTGTTAAGTCAGTAACATGGTTGTTAAGTGAATCTGGCTCCCCCGTTGACTTTGCTTGTCAGAAGGTCGCAAAAGGAGATCACATGGCTCTGGGACACTGTAGCCGTCATAAACACATGCCAGTTGACCATATGACCATGGGGATGCTGCAACAGTCTTAAGTCACTTTTATCTGTGCTGTAATGATCTCCAATGGTCACTAAACAAATGGTTATAAGTCAAGGACTACCTGTATACCAGTGGTGGCGAACCTATGGCACGCATGCACTCAGAGCCCTCTCTGTGGGCACGCGACCCTCTTCAACCAGCCCCCCACTAACTCGCTGAGGTCCCATGTGGCCGGATGCATCCCTCCTTTTCCCGGGCATGACCCACTGCATCGCCTCCTCAGCTGTTGGCTGACCGTCCAGCTCAGAGGCAGCTTCTCTGAACTGGTGGCGGGCTGCGGAGCCCCAGAGTATGCCGGTCGAGGGGCTGGCAGGCTGTGGCTGCTGACAGACACTGTCGGCCTCCATGCGCTCACTGGCCTCTGTGTGCGGGGGCCAATGGTGTCAGGCAGCAGCCGTCCTGATCCCGTCTTACCTTGCGACAATAGTATCCCCATCCTGCCTCACTTTGCCTCGCCTCACCCCGCAGGACAAGCCTCCTGCCCACCACCCCACCTGCCAGAGACCTCCTGGATCTCCCCCTGCCCAGCCCCCACAGGCGTCCCTCCCCACGAGCAACATCAAAGTGACCATGCCTACCTTAGCCACACCCACCCAGTCTGCCATGACCACCACAGCCATGCCCACCTGGCACCCAGCGATACATAAGTGGGTTTTGGGTTGCAGTTTGAGCACTCGGTCTCTAAAAGGTTCGCCCCCACTGCTGTATACTAAGAGGATTGAACTTCCTATATCTTAATCAGTATTGGTAAAATACGCTGCTGGAAAGGTTTTCTTTCCCCAATCGCCCTTTAAGAGCTGCAGCAAAATTGTGATCTATTTTACAGAATGGACAAAATCTTCCAGTTACTTCTGTTTGTCTTTTCATTTACTTGATGGAACATATTTAACAGCTTCTTTGGAGAATCCAACAAATTTATTTTTGAATTGTCTTTCCTTCTCCATTCCACTATTCCAGGAGAAAAACCATTCACTTGTAGCTGGGAAGGTTGCGATAAAAAATTTGCCCGTTCTGATGAGCTTTCTCGCCACCGCCGAACCCACACGGGGGAGAAGAAGTTTGCCTGTCCAGTCTGCGACCGCCGTTTCATGCGTAGTGATCACCTGACAAAACATGCACGTCGTCACATGACCAAGAAGGTGCCCAGTTGGCAAACAGAAGTTGGCAAACTGAATCGAATTGCGGCTCTAGAGAAGCCAAGGAATGAGAACGCTCTGAGCATGTTCCTCCCAATGTTATCGCCAGGGTAGTGGGCCAACTGGCCGAAACACACATTTTGTGATGAACTTTATGGTTCCCAAAATTACCACTTTTACTGATTTTTAACTTAATTTCTACAAGTTATGCTTTTCTGTTGGGGAGGATGGAAAAGTATTTTTTCTCTCTCTTTTTCTACCCTCTTTCTCTGCTTCAGTGTTCACCCTACTTAATGTTATGTTTTTTTCTTTCTTTTCATTCTTCCAAGATTTTGGGAGGATCACCAGCACTTCAGAAAAGGAAAATATATTTAGGGGTGGGGCGGGATAGAATATTAGCAAGGATTATTCTTTGAAAATTTATCTTTACTTGAGTAAGAATAATTAATAGAAAATGAAGCAGGCTGACTTTGTTGTTTTCAGTTTTATGCTAGTTTTCTGTCCACTTTGTACAAATGTAGCTGCTATAGCCTGATTCTGCATTTATCCTCTGAAAGCAGTGGTATGGGAGATTGAAACTACCTCTCAGAAACTGTTCTCCTGGGTGTGAATACAGTCCAAACTGATTATCAACTTGGGTCTGAACTCTGATTTCATACTTGAGGCAATCTGCTTTAGGATTGCCTGTCATGTCATAGTTACCGTTTGGAGCGCTCTATCTGGAGATATATACCTAGAGATTGTATTTAAAGTTGGCTTATTCAGCTGGCTCAGGATTCACTTTGTTGTGACACCAACCATATTCATCAAAGTTGAAAAGACCTGGCCTGCAATGGCGCTGAATTAATTTCCCCCTGTTCATTATTCCATACTGCTCAAAGTACTGTTCCATGTATGTGTTAGCAAAACTTGGGATACGAACAGAACTGTGCCTATGATTATCAGCTGTTTAAATATGGGTTTAATGTGTCAGTCAACTCATTTCAGAATCAGATATTTAATACAGAATTTCAGGACACTTGCTACATCACAACTGATGTCTTGAATAGTATAAACACTATGACAGTGGTTATTAAAAGTTTGGACATACTATGAAGGAAACAGTGACTTGTGATAATAGCTACTTCTTCATTATAATTGTTAATATTTTAATTATTGTAATTGGGAAGTAGCCTCTTTCTTTTAGCATGGCTAACTTATCAGAATTATGGGCTGCATCTCACCAACAATATAATTCAGTCAGAAACTTGCATTTCCATAAAAGGAGTTAAGTGCATCCTTAAATCTGTCTTTTTAAATCTAGTAAGTTCTAGATGCCTAACTTAGTTTGGCTTATGCCCTTGGTGTATTCGTACATAAAAGCAAGAAGGCCAAAGTTAAAAATTACTCCTGCTTGCACTAGTTTTTTTTTAATCATCTAAACCAGGAGTGGGAAACTATGGCCCTTTGATGACTTGTGGACTTCAACTCCCAGAATTCTTCAGCCAGCCATGCTGGCTCAGGAATTCTGGGAGTTGAAGACCACAAGCCATAAAATGGCCATAGTTCCCTATCTCTGATCTAAACAAACAACTAAAACTTCTCAGCACCTCACTGTTGATTGATCAAGAATTTTCACATAAGCCTTTCTAGGAAGATCAGCAGAGAAAATGAGGCTGTTTGATTTGCAGTATTCGGTCAGAAGGATTTCTTGATCAAATCTAATATTGGCACTAGTGCAATGGAACTGTTCCCTTCCTCTCTGCCCCTGACACTATCTATGCTGGAGAATCCAGGGCAAGGTCAAGATTCATGAGGTAATTTGTCTCACTGAAAGATGCTATTCTGTGAATGTGGGGAAGACATGAGGAGGATTCGGCTGCATGTCTTGCACTAAAGTCTCTTGAGTTGCAGTACTTATGCTTTTAAAATAAGGGGAATGGGTGTCATTTGTGGGCTGTGTCAAAGTAATAACAATAGACATACCTGAAAGTAATAATTCTGTATTTTAAAGCTGCCTTAAAAGTTCTTAGCCTTGGAGCAAAAATGCTTTATTTTTTTTCTTTAATTTTTCTTCTTGTGTCTTGTTCTACAGTACTATATTAACTGAATGAGTAACTGAAGTAATAGATAATTATTACTTGTCTTTTGGAGGGCCCTGTGGGAAATCAGAATTATTCATCCTGAGATATTATATCTGATGACATGCCAAATACTGCATCTCAAGCTGAGAAAATTGTTTTTAACGAGTATATGAAAGCATGGTGTATATGTATGGAGTATATCTGACATATTGTTACTATCTTAAACTAGACAGATCTTTTACAATTGCAATATACATTGGTTATTTTTGTTAGGACAATCTTGCATTACTTTTATTTATTCTGAAGCTATCTGAGATATTTCTGTATAATATGATAGGAATTTGCTGGCATGAGTGTTTTGAAAACTACATTTGCTATATGTTCCAAAATAACACATAGGTAATATTAATGTTTGGTCAGTTGTTTTATTAGCTTTATTTTACACTAGTAGCAACAGCCTGAGACAGTCAGGAGGTTATGATTTTTCTTTCACTTCATCCTGGGGAGCAATTCATGTTAAAAACAGCATGAGATCTTCCAGTATGGTGGAGAGGAGGGGAGGAGGAATCTAGGCAAAATTACATGTTTTGAAAATCTGCTGGACCGTTGTTCTAATGATGCCCTTTCTAAGTATTTATATAATTATCTGAATTTGAAGGGACTAGTGTTCATGAAGCAAACCACAAGGATCAGGAATTTCTTTCTTTTAGAACATAGCAGCTCTTGGAGAGAGGAATTAAGTATTATCTTCAGTTGATGGGAACATTTTATTTTGGCTTGCACTCCCAAATCAAGTGTAAGTAGGCTTCCTTTGAAATGAGATTAAACCAGGTTGTCATGCATATGTAGTCCTCAGCCATATATAATAGTTTGCCTGGTGCTTGAAAACTTTTGCATAATTGCAGTTTGAACTAGATAAATGCAGAACAGAAAACTGGCTGGCAATGATGGGTCATAGTGACTGGGCTGCATTTGATTGGTCACTAGATATGCAAGTAGAGGAATATTATAAAAAGCTGCATCTCAACATTTGTGTGTGTATATATATGTGTATGTGTGTGTGTGTTTGGATATATATATATATATATATATATATATATATATATATATATATATATATAATGGATGTGTGTGTATAAACACATGCATGTGTATGTTTTCTTCTCTTACATACGCTCATACTTACTTGCCATATTTTGAGTTATTGAAGCAAATTGATAAATCTGCAGTTCACATAGTTGTTTTCTCCCAATTTATTCTTAATTTTTAATTAACAGAAAAAAGATCATTTTTAAAGCTTGTTAAGAAGAGACATGTTAGTGGTATAGATTCAGTTCATATAATCAGACTGCAAGTTTGATTAATTTGAAACCACTTTTTCCCTTTCTGGACAATGTTATGACCTAATTATTGGCTATTTAACTAGGGATTATGGGAACTATCGTTCAATGTAGTAAAATTTTGTGCCTAATATTTTATACGAATAAACCTTATTTGTTACTTTCTGTTCAGCATTTATTGTGAAATCCTTGTTATTTGTGTGAATATACATACAAATACTCTTGTATTTCCTCAAGGGCTGTGTTGTATTTCCTCTTCTAGTAAAATGGATATTTACATATAGCTTTGGTTGTATTTTCTTTTTCCTTGTGTGGACAGTCTTCTTAATATAGAAATAGTACCATAAAGGAATAGGAGAGTTACAGAATCCATTGCTAATGTTAACACTTGGCACAAATATAGCATTTAGGTTACAATTCAATGTCCCCTCGAACATCAGATTCTCCAGATATTTCCCCAGAGTCAGAGATAGGTTATAAATATGGTGGTGGTGAGGATCTGACATTTCACTTTTAAAACTCTCAATCTCATAAAACCCTCAAAAGATGAGATTAGTAGGAACAAGCTGTGAATTTTGTTGGGATCCCCATGTTCCCAACCCTCATCTTCAACCCCCAGTCCAAAGAAAGACTGTGTAAAAACTGGAAAATGGATAAACATTTGCCATCCTATACAATACTTGTAACATTCTCAAACGTTTGCACTTTAATTCCTAAAATTCATTCTGTCAAAGAACCTGAGTCCCATCAAATCATAAAAAAAAATATACTGATTTTGAATAAGTTTATGGAAATTTTGTTATCTATTATTTCAATAGAAGTTAAAAGAACATCAGCATTGCAGTAGTACTAATAATGTTTATCATCTATAAAATTAGAGCTGAAATAATGTATTGGGTGTATTCAAAGACCAAACCAAAAACACATATGCAAACATTTTACTTTGGCTCCTAAGCTTAAATCTTTCAAAGGCTGTTCCAGTTCTGGAAGCCAGAAAACTCTGCTGAGATGCCCAAATCCCTTTATCTCCAACTAAAGCTTGGCTGCTCTGAGCAATTCCTCTTTCTCTCTTGGGGAATGGAAGGCATATTTTCTGCATATCACCGATGGTATACCTATTATAGCTTGAGAAATGCTGACCTAGGAAATAATGAGAAATACAGGGAGAAAAAGGAATCCCTTTTCATACATTATAACAGAATGCATTACTTTTAAAATGGCCAGAGTCAATAGTAAGACAACTCTGCAATAATATAGTATTAAGGATTACACATCACCCTGTTTTATTACCTTGCAGTTTACTAATCTAATGATTTTCACTACCATCAGCATCCTGCATCCTTTTTCAACTAAAAATGTGTGGGTTCCTTAAGCAATGTTGCTTTTGGGGATACATGCCTCCCTATCTTTTGAACATAAATCCATGTACAACCAGCAAGAATTGGTAAGTATTGCTTCTCCAGATTTAGTTGCATTCCAGTAGAATTAAGGATAGAGAATAGCAAAAGAAGTAATGGTAAAAGATTTGGCAAAGATTTAGTATCCTTCCCATGCCAAAGTGAATTTATGGATCTGTTTGAAGAGCAAGAAAATATTTAATTAAAGTGTTAATACTGTCATTCTGAAATTAGATAGCCTATTCTGTGAGTGTTAAAGCTCAAAAATGTACCACATGTCCTGGAGTTCTTTATAATGTACTTCTGTCAGTTCTACATATCAACAAACCCAAGAATAAACACCAGTCAATAATTGCATTTTCTACAAGAAACCATGCTTACGATTGTGGAGCATTTATTTCATTCTAGTAGATAATTTAGAAACAAGACGAGCCTGCAATGAAACCACCACATCATCAGCATTGTTCACGTAGTCAGTTTTTATTGCTGAAAAACTAGCCTTCTCTCCTGAACACCATCCCTCCAAAGGTACAAAATGGTTGAAGTCTGTTTGACATAGGCATCACAAAACTGCTGAAAGGTAATTTGGCTTCTTCCTCAGTTTTTTGCAGTTGAGAAAACTTTCATACTATGTCCTTTATTTGCCCAGCCTATTGCTTGATAATCCCTATAACCTAAGGAGAAGTGTATGTTTGGGTATTACTATTGGACTAGATTTCTGAGGTATTTTGTCTATTGGCTAACTTAACTAGCTTTTAATTCCAATCTTATGATTAACAAAAAAGTGTATCAATGTGAATCCAAGAAGATAAAGAGAAGCAGCACTTAGACAGCTATGGCTGATCTTCAAAAGGTAAGCAGGATTAGAACTAATATATGGATTGCAGACCACCAGGAAATCCTAGGGTTTTGGGCAACACTGGAAGTAAAACAAAAAGTCTGGAAGAAACCAATGGCAAACCAACCCTGCATTCTTGTCCAGAAAGCTTCACAGTCAAGTCAGCCAAATCATCAAGAGTTTGGCATAATTTAAAGAAGACCATACCTGTAGTTTACCACTATGCTATTAGTTCTACATTTGTTATGGATTGAGATGGTTCTAAAATTTAATAAATGGTTAGTGCAGGATTGAAAGAATGAGTCCACATCTCACTCTGAGCCATTTTTTAAAAACAATTATGGTTTGATTAATAAACTATAAGTAGAAAGGTTTATACATCCTTAGGCATGTAAGGTGGCTGGGTGGCTTTGGGCAGTCAGTCTCTCTCAATCTGATGTCACACAGGGTTCTTGTGTGGAAGTAAGTGACAAGAGCATTATATGCACTTACAAAATAAAAAAGAGAGATAAGTCAAATCAAGAAATAATGTGAAGCCAAAATCACGTAAGTCACATTATGGCTTGATGTCATGTGTGGATATGGATAATTTAGTAAATGTGGTTAAATTTTGGAGCAAGCTGATTTTTGCATCAAATACCAAAAAAAAAAAAAAAATACCACATTGTGCTTCCTATTTTTTATCTACATTTGTATAAGTTTCAAGTAATTCCCTGTATAACTAAAGCAAATCTGTGAACACTTGGCAACTAAGAACTATATAATGATGATCATGATGATTGTGATGATTTATTAAATGTATATGCCACCTGTCTCCCATCAACTCTGGGTGGTTTACAAATTGTTAAAAATGTTTAAAAAGCAAATTACAGTACAAGAAGCACCAAACTAAACCAAAAAAACAAGATGGCAAAGAAAACAAATCCATTGTGAAACAAGGGAAGGAAGAGAAAGGATGTCAATCATCCTTGCCAAATGCCCGAGCAAACAGCCTGGTCTTGAAAGCCCCTTGAAATACCAGTAAAGTGGAAGCTGTTCAAATCTCGGGGGGGGGGGACTTCTTCCAAAGGGCAGGCATTGTACAGAGAAGAGGTCACTTCCAATGTCCTGAAAGATGATATTGTTTAATCAATGGAACCTACAGCACACCAACCCTAACAGATTGAACTCCCTGGACAGATATAATTATATAAATAATTGTATAATAACACTATTGTATTAATAAGATATATTTCTTATATTTGAACATGAAAGCTGCATAATACATTTTTCAAACCTGAAACAGTGTAAATACTCTCCAAAGTTAAAGTCTTTCTTATATTATCTGGGTATTAACTCAGTCCATCAGCAATACATGAGCAGGAACTGTTTAAAGTATATGCTAATATTTCCAACATTTATATTCTAATCTTGCTGAAATGTTTCAGAATCCTGCCAGCATGAACCTGCCAGTTGATAGATGTCCTCTCCTTAGAAAGGGTAGATGTGCCCATTACCTTCATAAGACAGATGCAGAAACAAAAAGTAATCAAGAGACTAATGTTAAAAATAGAATTAAAAACCTAAAAACGGGAAAGAGAAGGATTTGAGTTTGATTCCAAGGAAACAAAGGTGCTTTGGAGCATGTGTGAGCATGCACATAGCGTGTCAGCAACTCCTTAAATGGTGCAAGTACATAAATCAAGTTGGCATTGCACCTTTGGACAGAGAAGTGGTGAGATTCTCCTTCCAATCAAGCAGAGATTAGATAGCCATTTGCTCTTGTTGTTTTCTACGGAGCAGAGAACTGAGTTAGGTATCTTAAAGGGACCTTCCAACTCACTGAGTCTGTGGTCAGAGATGGTTACCAAGAGGCAAACAGAGATGAGGTTCACACAGCGATAACTAAGTCAAGTGACGAAAGAACTAGAACCCCTCTAACGCTCTTTGCATCTGCTAAGATACATAAAGCTCATTTCACCACTAACGTCTTTAGGAATACAATCTTTTTGTTAACGTCATGCTTCCATTTTGAATGCAGACGTCTGACAGGAATGTGATTTAGAAGGAACATTTTTGTTACATATTATCTGTAAGAGGTATTTCAGCCTACAAGTGACCAGTGGAGTTGGTTGGCTACTAATCTAAAGTGATCACACAGGAGTTATCTCGGGTAAAATGATTTTTGCCATCCTGAGATTGTCTCAAGGATACTTCCATTTAGGCACTGTCGCATTACCAGTATTATAAAGATGGGCCACGTGAGCCAATACTTTGGGTGCAGGAGTAATTAATGTCTTACTGATTTATTGGAATTGTTATCATTATTATTTTCTGCAGTAAGACCATATGCAGTAAGACCATCCAAAGTTATTGATATTTACTGTAGTTTCATTAAAACTTGGACAAATGATTGCTCTTTCAGTACTTCACACCTCAAGCTTTAGGGGAAGGCGAACATTTGTGTATAACTGATATTTTCCCCTTTTCCATAAAGAACAGAGTAAGTTCCCAATTGGCTCCATAGGAAGCGTTCGGATAAGTAGTTGTATCTCTCTCTGGCCAGGGTTCTGAGATGTCTTTTTGCATGCCATGCTAGTAGACTTTTTCTCAGAAATACTGTAGTTTTATAACCTGGCCCCCAGGTAAATTTGTTTATGGTCATATTGGCATAGCTGTGAGTGGCTTCAGCGACAGTACTCTTGCTCTATTGTTGCCATCAGCTCCTCTTCAGAGCAGTCATAGGATATCTTGGCCTGTCTCTCTGCCTTCTTGAGAGGCAACCTGCAGATTTATGTGAAAAAGCAATAATCAGGACGGAAAATAATAAAACAAGTTAAAATGAGGCCTAATTTAGCTAGCAACATGTTATCTTCCCATTTCGCCTTTAATTAGCTTGTGTATCTAATTCTCACAATGTTTTTGAACAGGTTTACATCATTTAATTTAAACAAAATGGAATTACATGAGGGAACAACAGCAGTTGGAAGGGGCCATGAACGGGGAAATAGCTGCTTGTTCTAGGGCAGTAATGGCAAACCTTTTGGGCTCAATGTGGCAAAAATTCAGAAAATGCTTAACTTGACTTTGCTGAGATGTCACTACTTGTACCCCCAAACAAAAGAAAAACAATTTTCTATATTCCCTTCTCCCATCTGCTCTGAACAGCAGTATTCAGTGGCAGTGCCACATTGGCCTGAAGTAGACACCTAGGCCTTGATTTCAGCCCTAATCCCACCGCTGCCACTCAAAAAGGCTGTGTTGCACCATTCCTCAAGCAGCTGAACCTTGGGGAACAGTCTGATTACCCCCATAGCCCTAAGTTCCCCAGGATCTGCTGCATGTTGCTTACTTTCAAGTGGTGGTCTCTTTCTATTGACAGGCCCAAGGCCTACCTGGATCACATGTTCTTGAAGTGGCTTTGGAGAATTCTCTTCCACATCCTCTGCAGCCTCCAAATGTGCAAAAGCATACCTTATTCTTGCACTGGGAGGGGGGGTCCAGAGGCTGCGTGAGAGTACATACCATTCTCACCTCCATTGTCTCAAAAAATTGTGAGAGAATGGGGAATGCTTTTGAGAATCGTTGTCGGGTGTTGGTGAATGCTGGTATATCACCTGAAACATTGTGGCATGTCACATTTGACACTCATGTCATAGGTTTGCCATCACTTGCCTAGGGCAAGAATCTCTGACTTTTAACAGCTAAGGAATATCCTTGGAAAGCTGAGAGCGACTGAGGCACATTGTAAAAATTGCTCGATGTAGGCTTTCCTATATAAGTATCCCTATTTTTTAAAAAATAAAGCTTTGTTTTTATTCTGGTGTCTCTTGCACATTCCCTCTCTAGTACCCAAAGCACTACAGCCAGCAACAATATGTACACCATGATGGAGAAGGAGACCAAGACAAAAGCAGAATAATTACTCTGGAAGAATAAAAGGATTGAAATGTCATGCTATGTTGGAAAAGCTTCTTTAAACTGTGATAATAATTAGAATACCCATAAATGAAAGAAGAAATATACCGATAATGTTCAGAAAACAATTCTAAAATGTTTCCTTCTCGAATGAAAAGAAAAAGAATGCTAAAAGAAATCTACATTATAACAATCAAGATTTATAATCAAATGGATGGCCAATGCATGTGGTCTTCTTCAACCATTTCATATCTAAATTAAGAAAACCATATTGTGATTAAATTCAGTCCCTCTATTAGTTTTCTTCCATAAGCATATGGATAGTCTGAGAGACATTATTAGAAAAGCAACAATTTAATCTTGTTAAGCTGCCATTGAAAGAAAAAAAAACTTCTTGCTGTAATATTTCCTACAGAAATGCTTGTAGAAAAATGTGAAGAAAATTATTACTGAACCATGTTGAACAACTGATGAAAACACAGGAATGAAAACTCTTCTTCATTTCTGCAAAGTAGTATACTGGTGTTGTCTCTACTCCTAATTATTAACATTTGATTTACGATAACTTACTGATTGGCAAAGTTATTGCTTCCCGATGTAGATCTTGTTAAGAAGCCCTGCAAAACAAATGAACATAATAATACCAGTTAGCCTATGACAAAGAAATGCAGATTAACTCCTGTTAGTAAATCTCATAATTATATATATCTCTGAAAGCAAAAGTAATTTTTGACAAGGAAGGTGAGTAACTCATTGCTGGAATTAGAAAAGTTGATGTGTGTATATATATACATTTGCCCTTCCTAGTTCTAAGATAAGATAATGAGCAGGGGATTCACACAGACACAAGCCAGAAGAATTCTGTTGAGTTGAAGAACATGCGTCATTACCTTACCAATAAAAACCCTAAGATCATATGAAAATATTAGCAGGCGAATAGGTATGATGGGAGGACAGCAACATAGACATATTCATGTGTGCACTCGTGATAAGAATCTGAGACGGGGATGCCTCCTCTGTTCTCCTTACAAGTTTCCCGACCAAGCTAAATATACCAATGGCATAATTTATTCTAAATCTTCCTGCTATCCAATCAGATAAACAGATATACCAGAGTCTACCTTACTGATCAAATTTATCAGGTTCATCTATCCTTGAAAATGGAATATGATGTGGGTTATTTATTTTTATTTATTTATATATCAAACTTCTCAACCGCCCATGTCCCACACAAAGATCAGATTAACAATCATATTAACAACCCCACCTGTGAGAAACTTAAAACCACACATATGGTTGGTATTCTTACTCGGCCTTTTTTCCACACTACCGAGGTGAAGGGCAGATTTTGCCTCCCCGGATGGTGCTTGTTATGGAATAGATTACGGCAATGATGTTGCAGGGACACAGCAGAAAAATAATGCTGCCAGGGCATGCTTGTAAAGAGGCCTTTAAGGATAATGTCTTTTTAACCATATTTGAGAGAGAGTACAGATAGTCCTTGACTTATGACCACAATTAAGCCCAAAATGTATATTGTTAAGTGAGATATTTTAAAAGTGAGTTTTGCCCCATTTTATGACCTTTTTTGCCACAATTGCTAAGTGAATCATTGCAGTTGATAAATTAGTAATATGGTTGTAAAGTGAATCTGGCTTCCCCATTGATTTTGCTTGTCAAAAGGTTGCAAAAAGTGATCACGTGACCTTGAGACATAGCAACAGTCCTAAGGATGAACCAATTGCCTAGCAAGTGAATTTTGATCACATAATCACAGAGATGCTACAAAGGTCATTAAGTGTGAAAAATGGCCATAAGTCACTTTTTTCAGTGTCATTGTAACTTTGATGGTCACTAAATGAACGTGTATAAGTCAAGGACTACCTGCACCATATCTTAGGACTGGATTTAGGCACACTGGCTGAACAGTGTAACATCTTTTTAAGTCCAGTCAATCATCCAGTTTCCTCTCTTTCCTGTAGGCCAGGAAGATCTCTGCTACCTGTGTTTGAAAATAACAGAACCTGTTATTAAACAAGTTACAATTCTAGCACATGAATGGAAAAGCTGAATAACAAAATAAGCTCCATGCTTTCTTAAAAGATCTCCTGTTTTCTGCAGGTATAAACTACATTTCAGCCCATACTGCTATTGTCACAATCTATTTGTTCACCTATAGTTTAAAGTGGCACCTTAGTGTGCAATCTCCTATTCTAGTGTCCAGTACATAATAACAGGTAATCCTTGAATTATGACAACAATTGGCACCCGAAAATTCATTGTTAAGTGACATCACATGACCACACCTAATTATTACCTTTTTGCAACAGCTGTTAAATAAGACATCATTTGATTGAGATTTGTGACCTTCTCTGCCGGCTTCCCCACTGACTTTGCTTGTCAAAAGTTGGTTGGGAAAGTCACAAATCACAATCAACTGACTGCAAGATGCTGCACCCATCAAAAATGTGAGGTGGTTGCCGAATCGCAATCATGTGACCATGAGGATGGTTTGCAGGTCACTTTTTTTCAGTACCGCCATTAACATCTCACCAGTGTTAAACAAGCGTAAGTTAAAGACTATTTGTAAATACCTTTGTGCCCTAGACTAGAAATTGTTCCCCTTCCTCAATGTGCTTCTACTCCTCCGAGGTGCATAAAACCTATAGCATATTGTCATCTGTTATTATTATCATGGAGACAAGGTATGCGGGTAACCAGAGCACAACTCAGGAGTTTCAAAGCACGGGCTCACCTCCTTCTCTCTGATCACTAGCTGGTGTCTACCACCACCCACCCATCCCTTGGGATTGGGTCACAGGATCTTTTCCTGGGGGATCCTCTTCCTTGGTTTTCAGCCAGAGAAAAGAAAAAAGAGAGGTTCATAAAAGAGAGAAGATCAGCTTCTCCGAATAATCATTTTCCCTAATGCAGTAATAGATGAGGTTAGCAGTGGTCAATTTTAGATACTTAGGAATCCAGAACTCAAGTTGGCCTAAAGTTATCTCCAGCACATAATGTAAATACCAGACTCTGGTTCACAGGCTATTTCACAGGATGTCCCTAAGCATGTCTAATTATATCCGCATGATCTGGAATCTGTTTTGGAGTTGCTGAGTTACTTAGGAGCCAGGATAACTTATATTTAATTCAATTTACATTTTAAAAATGAGTACACACATATTTATGATTGGGGGGGGCCATCTCCCTATGTCTTCCTTTCATCCTGCTTTAGCCCATCAAGTGTTCAAATGGTGTGTACAAGGAAAAAGCTGAGGAATCAGTAGAGAGAAGCCAAGAAAAAGATTCACCCTTGGAATTTGACCTACCCTTTGGACCAAATTACACCTGATATGAGAATAGGCATTAATAAAGGAGACTGTTTGTAGCTCAGGATGGACATGAGGGGTCCTTGCTGCTCCCTGAGCTTGCTTGTTTTCTTGTAGATGTTTCATTACCCAAACTAGGTAACATCATCAGTCCCAGCAGAATAGGTATCCTGCTGGATGGTGATGTGCCAATTGCTGGCTGGGAAGATGGGTAGGTAAAAAGAACCAACTAGTGGAACTGTGAAAACTGCTCCATTTGCAAACACGAGGAATACGTTTTGGCAAGGAATTACAACAATTGACAAAGGCATAGGATAAACCCATGTGTTAGGAGTACTCAGTTTTAGCCAACTTTGTGTATAGTGCTTTAAATTCATATTGCAGTAGGAACGTGGCCTCCTAGGACTGCTGAGGCATTGATTGGGTTTTTCCCCCCAGACATTTTAAGGAAAGCATCCCTGGAGTATCAGGTTTGTACAAGAAATTCAGATTTTTGTAATAAAATATGGAACCAAGTACTGATTAAGGAGGCAGCCACAAGAGGGCACTGCTTTATAAGGACTTTGCTAAAAGAAAACAAGGATTCTTCTAACCCATAAAAATCTAAAACTAAATTAAGCATATTAGTTTGGTTTGTAAATCCAAATGTCATTTTCACCATTTGGTTGATTAAAGGTCTCAAAGAAGTCCTTTGACACAGGAATATCTCCCCTAACAAAAGCATGGCATTTCTGCATTAAGGCAAAAATACAGACTTATAGTTAATAAGCTCTCAGTGATGAATCAGAAACATTTCTAAGTGACTTAAGTTCTTTCTTCCTTTTTCTTTCAGGACGCCAAATATTCCCAAATGACAAACATGAATAACTGTAACTATGCAGGATATTAAATTACTTCCATATTGTTGCCATGAGAACAACATAGATGTATGTGGTCATGTAGTTACCAAGAGTCCAGCTTGGCTGGAATGAGACTTTCTTTGTTAAACATAAAGAAGAACGTCTCAGGAGTTAAACTGTTCTAATTAAATAATTAGCTTTTTGAACTGAATCAATTTCAGTCTAGCCTAGGGAGCAAAAATGGCCTATGTATGAAAGAATAAGTGACAGCAAGGTGCATGACAGTAAATTAAGTTGTATAGCACTCAAGGTAGAATTCATGCTTTATAGTACACAGTATACACTGCTATTGCATGGTATCCTTGTGGTGTCTCAAAGCTTCAATATCAACGGAAACTTTCATCAGCAAGAGGTAATTTCCCTTCCTGCCTGCAGCCCATTCAGAAGCTCCAGAGAGTTTGAGGACCTTTTTGGAAGCGGACAAAATTGGGGGACAAGGAACTATGATCAATCCATTTTCCAACATTATTCTAGTAATTTCTCAACTCAGAACCCACAGCAACATATCAGAGGGAACTAGGCAATCTACTACAAACTCCTATTCTGTGGATGGAATCCTTCACTTCTGAATGAATCTTTTCCTAATTTGAGTCAACAGGTGCCATGAACTTAATGCTGTTCTAGTGGTGCTGCTTTCCTGATGACCTGTAAAGCTTTGCTGTTACTGGGTGCATCCTTACTAAGGGATAAAGTTGGGAGCTGTAGCTCCAACCAATACTTGGAATCCTGGCTTTTTAGTACAGCCTCATCTGAGATAATCTTCAGAAACTATTGAGGGTCAAGCAAACTTGGAACTGGAATAAACATAAAACTTATAGCAATAATTTGAGCCGGTCTAGGGCCAAATTGTGCCTCAGATGAGAAATGTCTTCTGCATCACACAGAAGACATCTAATTTGCAATTATTTTATTTGTAACCCATTTTATTAATTTATTACACATTTTATCTGCAATGATTTACATTCATGGATGGTTCCCCCAAATTAAAAAAAAAGTGGCTACAGATAATTGGCTTGCCAATTCCTGTGTTTCAAGCCTGTTTTAGATCAAAAGCTGGGATCTTCAAACTTGGCCCTTTTATGACTTGTGGACTTCAACTCCCAGAATTCGTCAACTAGCATGCCTGGCTGAGGAATTCTGGGACTTGAAGTCCACAAGTCATAAAAGGGCCAAGTTTGAAGACCCCTGATCAAAATGCTTGGACATAACAACCAGATTTTGTGTATTTATTTATCTTTATTTTATTTGAGGAAGTAAACATAGCACAGATGATACCTTTCATTCACAATAAATCTCAGTGGGAGGCTAGATTAGTTTGAGTTAGCAAATGTCAATTTTCATTAGCTTCAAAAGTTGTGATTACGTTCAAGAATGGCAGAGTTGAAGTTTGAAATATCTTGAAGAGCCATGTTTGGCTGCAGAAACTTAAGCAGAATCAGATTTGTTTAGAAAGTACTACAAAAGTGGCTAACGACTTGGAAAAACAACCCAGAAGGTAACAGCAAGCCATTTTGGTATTGGTGCCAAGAAAACAATTTGGACAGGCCAATGAAGTGACTAGGAATAGCATAGCCCCTCAGGGAGACTGTTTTAAATTCTGGAAAAACTAGCTAAGAGTTCATTGTCACCAGCTGTGAGCTTAGTAGCTGTACAATACAGGTAGTCCTCAATTTACAAGTTTATTTAATCACCTTTCAAAGTTACAACAGCACTGAAAAAAGTGATTTATGACTGTTTTTCAGTTACCACTTTTTTGCAGCATCATGTGATCAAACGTTTGGCAACTGGTTCATACTTATGACCCTTGCTGTGTCCCAGGTCATGTGATCACCTTTTGTGACCTTCTGACAAGCAAAGCCAATGGGGAAGCCAGATTCACTTAACAGGGTTACTAACTAACTAATCAACTGCAGTGATTCACTTAACAATGGTGGCAAGAAAGATCATAAAAGGGGACAAAACTCACCCAACCAACACCTCACTTAACAACAGGAATTTTGGGCTCAGTTGCGGCCGTAAGTCGAGAACTACCTATAGAAATCTGAAGGTCCCCAGATGTTGCATAACACTTTCCAGCAGCTCAGCCAGCCTAGCCAACGCTGAAAGATGCCAGGTGTTGCATTAGCCCAATCTATAAAGACACACATCCCTCCGCCTTTTCTTAGCCGCTTGGAAGTGCCGGAAAGAAGAGCCACAACCTTTTGGTTGTGATTAACCAAGGATCTTCATCTCCAGTTCTTTTCCACAGACCTTTTACTCACGCCCCGCCCAGTCCCACAACTTTCCGCCCGCCGCTCGGACAGCGCGCTTACTTCCGACGCTTCCCGCTGCCCCCCGATTTCTTCGTCGCCAACTTCTGGAGGGCGGGAGCAGCAGTCTCCGGAGCCGTGGCGCAGAGGCCGGCGGGGCGCGACCGTGGGCAGGAGTTGGGGGCCGTCCTCCTCGCACTCCTCCAGCACCTGGTCCAGGAGCTCCGAGTCCGAGTCCGGCTGCTGAAGCTGCAGCGAGGGGGCGCACGGGAAGGCTTGGCCCGCAGCCCTGGCGCAAGCCTCTTCCCCGTCGTCCGCCAGGCCCTGCCGAGAGGGGGTGCTGTGACTGGCGTTGCCCGGTCCGGCACCCCGCCAGTCCCGCGGCGGGCTGAAGGTGCGCGCCTTGCCTGCCCTGCTGCTGCTGCTGCCGGTGCCCATAGTGGCGGGAGTGTCTTGGCTTTCCGGGCGGTTGCAGCTGCTCGAAGCCGCTTTGCTGCTCCCGATTGCTTTGCAGATGGTTCTGATTCTAAAGTCCAACTGTTGCAGCTTCCTGGCGGGCGGTGGCCAAAGAGGGTGGGATCCATCCTCGTTCCTTTTCCTTGTTGTCCTACTTGGCCAAGAGCTTTCCTTGGGGTTTAAATCTGTTCGTTGCGGATTCCCCCAAGACCACCTCGAGATCTCCAGCCGCTTCCCCCCTCCCCACAGCAAAGTGGTAAAGGGAGAGGAAACGTATTTAAGTGTATTTAATTTTCTTGTTCCCTCTCGTTTTTCAATCCCAAGCATTTGGTTTTGGACAACTGCATGGGTGTAACCTCGGAATGAAGCTAGATTTCAAAAAGGGAAGGGAGTGTCAAAACGCTGTACTTAGAGGCCATACTTGGCCTTAATTTAGCTATATAGACAGTAAAAAGCAGTAACAAAATGGGTGTCTCGATGATTCAAAATAAATGGGCTTTTGCAATAAGTATTGTGGAAAGTTTTAAAACGAACCGTTTTGCAATTTGGTGAGGGGATACTGAGCGTATATCTCAAGAGTTCCAAAATGTTTTCTTTTACCAGTAGTTAACAAGCTCAGGAATCCAGCTAGTTGGTGTTTTTAAAAGTTAGTCAACTTGTTCATTATCTTAATCATATTTGTCAAAGTGAATTGCACAATGATAGCTAGCAGTTTTGTGTGTCTCAATTTACATGCAGTAGAGCATTCTTTGGAATAAATGTGCCTTTGAATACTCTTCCCTTGACTGCCTGTTGTTTTTTCAGTTTTAATAGCAGGGCTTAGATGTGGAGCAAAGAACAAAAAGAAAATGTATTTTAAGCATGAGAAAATTGTTATTACAAGCAAAGAAAACCATAGATCTGGAGGGGGGAGGTATGTTTGAGGAATTTATAATTGCACAATTATTCTGGATTCCAAAAATTAAAATTTGCTTCTGGGATTTCTATTTGTTTTACTGTTGTTCACTTATAATATAGTTGAGAATTTCCAGAACAGCTATGTTGAATTGCGCATTTTTTCTGGGGAAAAAAAAAAGAAGAAAGGTTAGATTAGCATTGGAAAATCATTGCTGTTGGAAAAAGAGCTGGAAAACAGAAGCACCAAGGGGATTTGGACAAATTTTTACCAGCTGTGGAATAATACTGTTTTTCTGGCTTTAATAACCTAATTGGCTAAAAATAGATCTCACATAGCTATTTATGTCAACATGTCCTATTAGAAGTGTTTTTTCTTCGAAATGAGTTTGGCAACTATACATTTTCCATTCTTCACAATGAAGAAAATCTGAGAAAGGAGACTAGAGTACATGGGCTTGGTGCCAATAAAAGGGGCTTTCTTTATATAGGTAGTTCTCCAGATACAATTGTAATGGAGCCTTTCATGTCACAAAAGCCATTAGGTGAAGTGTCTCACCTAATGTCTCCCATTCCTGCTTTCCCCATTGTTAACGACACTTGCGGGTCTTTAAGCGGAGTGTGGGATGCCTCTGGGTGAGGAAGGCCTAGCACAGCCTAGACCCGCTTGCCCTGGCCCTCCCAAGGTCTCCCCCACACCTGAAGACACCCTGTGTTCTGCTTCCTGCCCCTTGGGTCCCCACATGCCTTTTCCCACTGCCAGCGGGTCCCCCTTAGGCCTGATTCCTACCCCAGCAGGCCAAACAACCTCCTCCTCCTCACTTGTTTTTGAAGACCTCCAAGGCCTTTCAGATTGCTGCAATGGATAATAATAATAATAATAATAGTAATATAAAGTTGGGAGGGACCTTGGAGGTCATCTAGTCCAACCCCCTGCTCAGACAGGAAACCCTATACCATTTCGGACAAATGGCTGTCCAGTCTCTTCTTAAAAACTTCCAGTGTTGGAGCATTCACCGCTTCGTGTGGCCACATGGCATGATTCTGGAAGTGGTGGCTGCATTCAGGTTGCGTCTGCTCAGCTGGGGGACAAACTGCTTTGTTTTGCTGCCTTAAAAAGGTCCGCACAGCATTGCAGAAGCTTTCTGTAGCATTCAGAAGCTTTTGCACTACTGTGCAAACCTTATTAAGGCAGCAAAATTAAGCAGTTTGTCTGGTGGCTGCCATTTTGTCCCTGCCCATAAGCAGGTGAGACAAAACGGTGTGGCTCAGGAATATGTAGCCTTCCCTCCTTCCCCAACATAGGTCCAGAGAGCTTCAAAAGGTAAGTGCAATGGGTGATGGGTATGTGGGGAACAGGCCCAAACACTGGGGTCCTGGCAGGATGGGAATGAAGGGAGAGAGGTTGGGTGCAGCAGTGTCCCTGGAGTTGGTCGTTAAGGGCGAATGGCCACAGGGGCGCTGCAGTTGTAACTTTAAAATGGTCATATGGAATTTTGGGACGTCTGTGGTAACTTTGGATGTTCGTTAAGTCACATTTTTCCGTTCTGTGTAACTTCATATGGTTGTTAAACAAATGGTTTGATTTCAGGACTACCTGTATTTTGTGCTGGGTCTTAGTTGCCAGATGTGTCAGGTGTTACTCAAATTAAAAATACCAACCCTTCATAGGCCCCTAGATCCCAGTGTTCAAACTGTAACTATGGCTTTCAGTGCACAGAGAGAAGCTCCTTGGTTCATAAGTAGCCCAGCCACCTTGAATCCTAGAAGAAGTCATTCAAACCACAAGGTCCAGTGCCCTGCTCAGTGCAGGCATTCAAAGGAAAGTATCTCTGTGGTACTCTTGTTTGTTGTACTCGTTTCCCTCTTCAGTTGCTTTTATCACTAAGTTTTCCTTTGCGTTTAGTCAAAATCTATCTTACTCTGGTACTGCAGTGAACCTGATTGGGGTTTAGCATTCACCACCAGAATTCTTAAAGAGACTGGTTAGGATAAAGGGCAGTTAACTAAGTATTTTAAAATCTAGATATTCTTGGATGATGTATAGCTAGGTGTGCCGGACATAACTGAATCAGTGTGCAGCTTTCAAGCTAATGTTGGACAACCATTTGTCTGGAATGGTATGGGGTCTCCTCCTTGATCAGGGAATTGGACTAGAAATCCTCCAAGGTCCCTTACAACCCTGTTATTCTAATTCATTGCAAAGGCATGGGGTTGAGAATCTATGTTGGGGAGTTCTACTATATTCTACTGTGTGACTTTGGTTTGTCTGTTTATAATCTTCAGTTGGGTGAAACAATGCATCACAGGGCAACATTTTTTGAACCAACATACTTCAAATGAATCCAAAATACAGGGCCCATGACTCCAGTGGGATTGAAATTTGGCAAAGTTTTGGCTGCTTCAGCACTGACATAATTATGTGATTATACTTTCCAACACTTCCTGCCAGTTTCCCTCAAGAAAAGTCAGTAGTGAAACCAGCAGGAAGTTGTAGGTTGTTTCTGTCCCATCACGTCTTTGCCCATTCTGTTCCTACATTTAGGTAACGAAATATCTTTGAAATGATCACTCGGTGAGGCACTGGTTATCTAATAGCATGTTTCTTCTTAAATCTGATATAAATCGAACAACTTTGTGCCATCCCAGAATTAAGAGATAGTGAATGGTGTCATGGAATGGTTAGAAAGAATGGGAGATTCTTGTCTTTGAACAATTTTTTCTTTGTATGGTAGTACACAAGCATGGTCATGTTGGTAAAATATTTTTTGGAACTGATAGATCAATAGATAGCATGTTGTACCACAGCATGGGAAATTGATGGCTCTCCAAACGTTGAACTACAGCTTGCAGTAGCTGTAGCGATGAAGAGGATGCTATGCCAACAATGTATCTTATCTAATACTTGCATCATGACTTTGTTGTGCAATTAATACAAAATATGTAATTGAGCCATGATGGCGCAGTATTAGTATGCAGTATTGCAAGCTAACTAATTCTACTGACTGCCAGCAGTTTGATTCTCACCAGCTCAAGGTTGACTCAGCTTTCCATCTTTCCAAGGTGGATAAAATGAGGATCCGGATTGTTGGGGCAATATGCTGACTCTGTAAACCGCTTAGAGAGGGCTGTGAAGCACTATGAAGTATATAAGTCTAAGTGCTTTTGCTATTGCTACGTGTCAGGCCATGTAGTAAAATGATGAAAGTATATAATTTGTGAAATATGTATTATGTCATAACAAACCCAATATTATTTTGATGACATTTATCAGGTATGTATATTTTGTTATTAATTCAGCAGCATCTGGAAAGCCATTGCTTTTTTCACTCCAACAGTATAAAATTGCCATCTAATATCTTTAGAACTGAGATTAATTATTGCTTGCAGTTAGAAAAGAATGAACTACAATGCTGATTAAAATTTCCAACAGTCAGATCAACAGAAAATTGCATGTAATTTTTTGTTTCCATTCATGCATTTCCTATCATTAATTATGTACAAATGTGTTCTTGGGGCTATGAATCTTGCCCTTTTTGTAGATCTTAATACATTTTATTTTTTGGCAGCAGAATAAACCTATTTCACGGTGATTGCGCAGGCAACTCATGGATTCAGAGGGTAATTGCCTTTGTGTGATACATTCCACTCTGAATAGCACACTACCCAGAGATTAGCAACCTTTTTTTTTAATTTGCTAGAGAAAGGCTGCAAAATCTGCTTCATGTTTCTTCATTAGTACAAAGTTAAGGCAGCTACTTGTTTTCTCTGGAATAGATCCAGAAGCTCAAAATTCAAGAATTAATGACTAACCCCTTTCTTAACTAGAGTTTACATACTGTCTTGCGGATTATTAGCAAAGCCAAAATCAACAGGGTCCTTGTGTCACTTTTAATTCAGAAAACAAAGCAAAAAATTCAAAATAGACAAGTTTTGCCTCCTTCGAAATAAATAGCAGTTATTCCTCGGGAGACCATATTCCTCAACAATCTTCAGTGGGGTGCAAATGTTGGTGATTATTTCAGTCAATTCACATATTGAATCCTTATTAGCAAATAGGTATTTCCGTATATTGCTGTTTTTAACAAAATTAATTAACAAGAAAAAGGCATGGCATGTAATAACAACTTTGTCCAAAATGTAGAAAGCTATATAATTAAAAGTATCACATTTGCATCTCGTTAACGCTTTTCCCTGTTGAAATGGAACAGGTCCTTTTAGGTACAAGTTAATATGTTAATGCTGGGCAGTAATTACAATTGGTGGGATTTGTCTCAGATACAAAGTGATCAGGTTTTTTTTTAACGGTCAGTTTTTAGCCCCAAATCCCTTAAACGTCTACTTCAGGGAATGCTTTCCCCCATTTGCTACCAGGAGGGCGGGGTGGAATTTGCCACTAAAGGAGACATCTAAGGAAAATATCTGAGGTATTCAATAACAGAGCACTTACTGTGAATTTTTAACTACACTTCTTTATATACTGCAGTGTGAGAAGAAAACTTGGATCCTCTGGTTGTTGCTAAATAAAAGGCAGTGGTGAGGGAAGCTAGTTCCTGTAATTCAGCAGCATCTGAAGAGCCACAATATCTCAATTTTGGAAGTATTTATTTATCACATCTCTACCTCCCTCATCTCAGCTAAGTGACTCTGCGTTTGTGTGGATGGATGGATGGATGTACAGAGAGACAGTGAGAGCACTAGCTTCAGATATAGGTTAAGACAACTGAATTGAGACTGGATGGATCAGAAATTCAATAAATAGCTAAAAAAAGCCATGTAGGCACTGTTTCTCTGGAGCAGTGTTTCTCAACTTCGACAATTTTAAGGCATGTGGACTTCAGCTCCCAGAATTCCATAGCCACCATTGCTGGCTGTGGAATTCTGGGAGTTGAAATCCACATGCCTTAAAATTGTCAAGGTTGAGAAACACTGCTCTGGAGTATTGGAGTAGTGCAAAACGTTGTGAAGATTATATGAATGAATGTTATTCATTATGATAGCTATACTTTTCTTAAACTATTTAGGAAGAATTGTACTTATCTAGTTGAACTCATTGCCCTTGTTCTTCCTTGTGGCCAAGAACCACACAAAGCTGTTTGTTAACAAGTTTATACTATTACATGCGAACAAATGTTACAAAAATAATTGCTCCAGCAGATGTTTAAGACCACTGCGATCCTCTTTTGTCTCTTAAGTCAAATTCAGTGATGTGCTCTTTTGTACATACGAAAAAATAACACAACATCCCCTACTGATATTTAATCGATATTAATGTCATAGATATTTATGTATGTATTAAATGATATACATTGCCTAAAGTGGATGGACTTAAAATTGTAAACACCGGGAATACCCATCATGGTTCAGTGGCTCTGGCTCAAAAAGCGCTATTTGTACCAATAGCTTCAAACTTTCTTTGACGCAGCAGCTCTGTAGCAGACAATGGCTCAGCAGTCCTAGATGAATTGTCTATCTGCTCTGCTCTTCCATGGTTGCCTTTCACAAATCTCAGTAGATGACAAATAGCAGCTGGTGTAATACCAGGAATGCGGCCGAGAGCGCCAATCTAAAACCAGAGAAGGCAAAAGAGCTGGTTTTAGAATATGGTAACTGCAGCAAGGCTATTACATGCATAAAAACAGAAGACTACAAAAACACCCAAAGAAAGGGATTGAAAATGACAAAGAGTTTACAGAAATGGTTAAACTGACTTGTCTGATTAGAGAAGAAGCAATTATTACTTTTATAAAAGATTGGAAACCCTTTGTGGTCTTTTTTTGCTAAGAATAGATAAAAAAATAAATTGGTGAAGTCTAGATTTATTGATTAAAAAGGAGGTGTTTATGGGGAGAAGATAACTAAGATGAACAATTTGGGAGGGTGGAGATGGTAACTATTATATTTGTAACTGCTACAAAGATTGGAAGTAGTTTCTTTAGATATATTTTTCCTTTTTTAATTCAAATAAGGGCAGACTGTTCGTCTACTTATACATAACACCACATTTGAAAATTTCTAACTCTTCCAGGATACACATAACACTGACTGTTTACACAGCATTCATTAAGTTTTCTGCTTCCTCCAGTACTTTACCGTTGGGGGGCGGTGGGCATCCAGTATCTCTCGTACTTCCTGGGATAGAGATACATCGATAGTGAGATAATCCAAGTCCTCGGGTAAACGGAGAGCTTCATCTCGACGTACTTCCTCTATTTCCAGCTTTTGATTGGCCACATGCGAACCATAAACAGCTTGTAGGAAAAGCCATGAAAATAATTTTAAAAAACGATAGAAGAAACAAAAAATAGAGAGAAAAAAATCTCAATTGCATACTCTGGCAATTGCTGGGGATTTCTGATGCATTCCTTAATGAGAATGGGGAATAAATGCCTTATAGCATTTATAGCTATATGCCATAGAGCATTAACCTTGTGAACTCTCAAGCTTCCTCCTTCCATTATATATTCAAGATGGACAGTATTTAATATTTATTTGTTATGTATATGTAGGGGTATGGGTCTATACATGTTGTATATAGTATGTTTTTAGGGTGTGTCATGTATGTGTTTCACTTTGAGTGGGCAACTAAATTTCATTTTTGATGTGTGCTGTTGTGTCCACAGTAAAAAAAATGTCAGTAAAGGTCGGTCGGTCGGTCTGTCTGTCTGTCTGTCTGTCTGTCTGTCTGTCTGTCTGTCTGTCTGTCTGTCTATCTATCTATCTATCTATCTATCTATCAATCTATCGTGAGCAATAACATCACAAGAAAAGTGGATGTGGGTAAGCTTGGCTTTTTTCAAAGCCACAAGTTAAGGTCTGGAAATAATTCCATTATATTCCATTTTATTTTTTCCATAGTTCATGCAATCAATTTTTTTCTGCATTGCAGAAGGAACAAACTCACTCTTTCTACCGCACCTATTTTTCACAGAAATTCAGCATGTCCTCAGTTTGGCAAGAATTTACAACCTATGTCTTGAGCTACTTTCTTGCAAAAGAAATCTATGGCTATTATAATTATTTACCATCCAATAAAATATTTTGTACCTTCTATTTTCAGCCTTTCTGCCAGTAGTTTCCATTCCGTGAATTTTTTCATGGATTCTGGGAGAGCTCTAGCTAAAAGATCCATACTGACCTCTGGATTCTGAAAGATTTCTAGAGCACTGAACAAAAAGAAACAAACCATTCTATTAAGCAGTGAAATAATCTCCAGGTTTGGCACAAGAAGGCAGATTATAACATTAAAAACTTTAGTTAATTTCTATTTCCATAGAATTTTGAATTATATGTCTAAAATATTTTTAAATCTGCTAATACAGTGGTTCTCAACCTGTGGGTCGGGACCCCATTTGGGGTCGAACGACCATTTCACGGGGGTCGCCAAACAACGCAGTCCGCCATTTTTTTCCCCTTTTCCTTAGCTGTGCTACTCCCTTTTATTCTATTGGCTTTTGAAAGCCAATAGAATAGACTCTCTTGAATAGAGTCTAATTCTATTGGCTTTCAAAAGCCAATAGGAATTGTCCAGGCTGTCTCTGCCCTGCTGAGCCCGCCAAAAGTCCCATTCTGCAAATGGTGCTGCACCAGTTGAATAGTCCTCGACTTACGACCGGTTGAGTAGTTCTTGACTTACGACCGGTTGGGGTCGTGGCATTAAAAAGGTTGAGAACCACTGTGCTAATACATGGGGAGCCCATTTGGTCTAGTGATTAAGGCACAGGCTAGAATACCAGAAACTCTGAGTTCAAGTCCTGTCTTAGTCATGAAAGGCAGGTGGGGTGGTTTTAGGCCAATCATTTTCTCTCACCCAACCCATCTCACAGGGTTGTTGTGGTGGGGAAAATAGGAGGAGGAAGATGTGTTGGATATGTTCACAATCTTGAGTTATTTGTACAAATAATAAAGGCAGGATACAAATAAATATGTAAAATAAATTTAAAAAGCAACTACACATCAGAATTTGAGGGGAAAAAACTATATGAAAAATAGCAAATTTATCAGAAATGAACATATATATATATAAAAAAAATCAAATGGTATTTACATCAAGGAAAAGATTAGAGGTCCCTGCATATCTGATACTTTTCTCAAAATCATGAAAGGAATGTTCTATCCTGTTTGTCATGCATGGGACATGACACTCATATATCTTCTCCATGGAATTAAGGGCTCTCAATAGTGTTTTATTGGTTGCTCTCTTGACATGCAACATAAATGTTCACATAAGAACATTTAATAATGTTAAATAATAACATAGGGTAGCAGAACTTTGTATTAGAATTCTATTTTTGTAAGCCACCTGGAGTCATTCTGAGTGAGTTAGACAGTTATATAAATTTTCTTAATAAAAAAAAAAAAAGTAATGAAAGTAGACCTATAAAGGAGAAATGAGTTCTTATTTAGAAAAGTTGGTATAATTAAGACTTCAATCCTAAAACTACTTTGACTTTTTAAAATTAAAAATGATATTTTTATTTTGACTAGATGAAGAATATTTTCTGAAATTAGGCAAAATCCAGTTTTGCTCTCCATATACTTACGCAGGCAACAAATGCATGATTATTTTAGTCACTACCTCAAACTGTCCCTCAATTCCATACTTTATATTTTATTTAAAAGTATTTATTCCTAAAATAAAGCACAAGGAACTCTTTTTCTGATTTGAAATTTTGATTAAAGAATTGACTACATTTGAATCACAAATTTTCAGCAGATTATTTAATTTTTCCTATAAAAAGTACTTATTATAGTTCCTACTTAATCTAACTGAAGTTGTAAGCACATACGCCCTGATCTTACCTGAAGAGGTAACTTAAGGAGCACCTTCTTCTATACCAGTGGTTCTCAACCTGTGGGTCGGGACCCCATTTGGGGTCGAACGACCATTTCACGGGGGTCGCCAAACAACGCAGTCCGCCATTTTTTTCCCCCTTTTCCTTAGCTGTGCTACTCCCTTTTATTCTATTGGCTTTTGAAAGCCAATAGAATAGACTCTCTTGAATAGAGTCTAATTCTATTGGCTTTCAAAAGCCAATAGGAATTGTCCAGGCTGTCTCTGCCCTGCTGAGCCCGCCAAAAGTCCCATTCTGCAAACGGTGCTGCACCAGTTGAGTAGTCGTCGACTTATGACCAGTTGAGTAGTCCTCGACTTATGACCGGTTGGGGGGTCACGGCATTAAAAAGGTTGAGAACCACTGTTCTATATGTTCCTCCTTGGGTCTTAAGATTTTCCAAGGGGGCCCTCCTTGAAATCTTCCCATCAAAGAGGTAAAGTGGGTCTCTACAAAGAAGATGGCATCCTCTGTGGTAACACCTCATTTATAAAATGCCTTCCCCAGAGAGGCTCAAGTGGCACCCACATAAGCATCATTTTGAACCAGATGAAAAAGACCTGTTTGAATCGGCTTTTGTATTTTAAGTGATACTGCGTTAGAACTGGAATGATCACCTTTCTGCTCCTTAGTTTGTGCGTGCTTTTACTTTGCATTTCATTTCATTTTATTATTTGGTATTTTTACTCACATTGCATCTTTTAGTGAGTTTTATTGTAAAAGCCCTAAGAGCTTTGGCTATTGAGGCAGCTTAAACTTTTAAACAATTTTTTCATTCCTCACACATCTGGGCTCATTCAAATCAATGGTAAAGGAAATGTATTACGTTTCTGAAGAACTCAAAGAACTTCTTAAAATCCATACATGTACTAGATTGTTCCACTTAAAGGTGAGAAATGGAATGCAAGAATGATGGTTTTATGCCTCAGCAAGCAAAACTCTAGAATAACAGCAAAAAACCACAACCTGCGAGGGAAATTATGATGATGGCTCATTCGAGCTTCTGGAATGAGCTGCCGCCACATTTTATAGCCAAACCGAACAGACTTCAGTGCTTCCATTCCTTCTTCTAGCATTGCTTTCATCCAAGAGGCTTGTTCATACCGCTTTTGTGACACACAACCAGCTTCATGGTAGCCTTGGAAATGTATATCAAAAAAAATACAGAAATAAATAAGAAGGAACGGCACCTGATGAGGAAAGAATGAGTGTTATCAAAACAGATGTTGAAGGAGTCAGTACCTCGGAAGGTGAGCCTACTATCAGCATTGTCTGGTCGCAGAGACATCCGAAACTCTGCCCGGCTGGTGAACATCCGGTATGGCTCTTTGGTGCCAAGAGTGGTGAGATCATCAATCAAAACCCCAATGTATCCCTCGGTGCGACTGACAATAAAAGGAGGCTTCCCTTGGATCCTCAAGCCAGCATTGATTCCAGCAACAACACCCTGCAAGATGAACATAGGCTAATAGGAGTTATAAGGAAAACATGACTGGATAGCAAATATTATTGGTCTGTTTGATGGGTACTGCTGCCCACTGTTTTGGACTTGAGCTACTTCAATTATAGAGCAGTAAGGGGCAGCCAATGATTCGTATGTGGCTTTCCAATGTCCTATTTGGGCCACAATGTCACAGGGTCATCCCATAGAAGCTTGGCAGCTATAAGACTGAACTGTGACAAACTTTTTCTTCAGTATTTCAAAAATGAAGGGTAAGAATAGGTGTGAGAGGCCTATAGGAGGCAAATCACTTTTGTTCTTAGCTTTAATGCTCTGCCTCTGGAAATCAATAATCTGTCTAGTCACATCTCCGTATTAGTGGTGGGGAGAGACAGCAGATCAGGAAACTGAATTGAAACTCATAATTCTTTACAAATTGCCCACCTCTGCCCTAGAGAAAATCAATCTTAGACCTAGGAAAGTTCCAAGGAAAAAACCATGAGCCAATGATTCCAGCAGAACAAAAACGGAAAGTCTTAAAAGAATGCAAACAACAAATGGTTTAGAATAAGAAGAATAAGACCTACAAGGGAACCTCAGAAAGGAAAGCTGGGGCAGCTGACCAAAAGCTATGTAGATGATGTCAAGAGACAGCAGAAGCTCAGGTTCACTTTGTCACCAATTAAGCTGCTTTCTAAATGCAAAACAGTCTGAAATATTAGCAAATAAATCCAGTCAAGTGGGAAGAAGGGTGTGTTGTATGGCTAGTCATTAACATCTAGTTGAGTAACTTTTGACTTGAAAACCTTTAATGCATCAGATTGTAGCACAAACAAAATAACTGACACATACCCAGTGACATCTCTGTTTTCCTTTAGAAAGTGCTTAGAATCAAGCATCCTTTTATTCAGAAAAAATGGGTTCATTTCCCCTTCCTTTTTAATGTCTAGGCCAGCCATTTTTTTCATTGCCATTATTAATACAAATAATGGCAATGAAACAGAGGTCTCTGGCTTCATCTTTGTTACCAATTCAAGGGCATTCTGCTACTCAACCCAAATATTCCTTTGTTAACATGTTTCCTCCTGGATATTATGATAAGATGACTGAACCTCTGGCAGCCAGAACCCCAGATTCTCTTTAGGACAAGAGTAAATTCCCTCATCGCATGCATTCCAAAGGTGTGTGAAAAATTGCTGTGTGTTCCATGCAAGCCCTGACATGAATGAGGAGCAGTTGCTTAATCTGAACGAACTAGTAAAATGTCTTGTGGCTAAATGTCACTGATGAAATTAGTATCGCAGATGCTGGCTCTGAACTTTGGTCCACTTCCTGCATGCTTTTCTCAAGTCACCCACCTGGGCTGCAGCTTCCTCATAGCCTGTTGTGCCATTGATCTGTCCTGCAAAGAACAGCCGCTGCACCAGACGAGACTCCAGGGAGGCGCTCAGCTGACGTGGGTCCAGATAATCATACTGAACTCCGTAGCCTGGTATGAATAAAATGGGTAAAATAGTTTTGCAAACAATGTTCGTCAAATGCACATGGAAAACATAACTCTATAAATCTGGCTGTTAAGTATTTTGACAGGTGCTGAACAACGTGCTAGTGTACAAGTTGATTAGTGAACTATTTTTCTAAAAGTAGGAAAAGATGTCTCCACATTTGAACAGATAAAATCCCTATATGAGTGGGAGGGCACAGGAAATAACATGATTTTCCAAATCATAAGCTGCTTACACAAAAATCTGACCTTCCAACTTCTCACCTGGCTGTATCATCCTAGCATGTTCCAAGCCTCTAATGAGACGGATGATTTTTTCCTGGATCTCAGAAGGCAGGGTCAGGGACATTCCCTGTGGGTATGTGACATCGGAATCCAGACCTTCAGGCTCCAACCAGATCTGATGCCCACGATTCGGAAAACGTAGAACTTTAGACTCAAGGGAGGGGCAGTATCTAGATACAGGATGGTCAGCTAAATCAGGATGCCAACACCATCAGGAAACTAGCTTATTTATTTATTTGTCTGTCACCCAATTCCCAATGAGTCTGGGTAGCTCGCAAGTAAAAACATAAAAAATACAATATGAAACAAAAAACTAAAGAACAAAAGATAGCTAAGATGATAGAAACCAGATGGGAGCAGAAAAAAGAAACGACTCCATGAAATCCAAGGGGCCTTCACTCACCCATCTGAATGGCCTGGGAGGATCTACTAAGAATCACTTGTGCCTCATCTTTCTGATGAATTCCCCCACTACTAATACAGGGATACATAACACTGAAAGCCTTATGAGCAGAACCCCAGGTCAATTCAAAGTCCGCCACTAAAATTTTAATGTTTAATTGTAACCTTGGGCAAAAGAACAAATTAAATTTAAGAGGATTGGATTTAATCATACTTTTTAATATTGTTAGAATTTTAAAATTGTATAATTAAGGTATATTAAATTATAATTGTTTTGGGATCATCTAGTTTTTGGAATACAGCTCCTGGCATCCTGCTTAAAAGCCTTCAGAGGAAACTATAGAAATCATGACTCAGTATAATGCAGTTGCATTTATGCCTCTTTTCTCTTGACAGGTATTTTTCCTTTTGGCTGTCAAGATTGACATTTAGATTTTAAGCTTCTCAGCATTTATGTTTATCTCTTATTTTATGTTAGGGTTTTATTATACTGTGTCAAGTACTACAGAGATTAGTAGTAATTCTGGGAATCAGTAATATGGCATTTATGGGGTCACAGAAGGGCATCCAATATACAGTCATGTGAAAAAAATGTACACCCTCTTTGAGTTCTATGGTTTTATGTATCAGGATATAATAAATATAATCTGGTCCCTAGCAGTTCTCAAAAGTAGGTAAATACAACCTCAGAAGAATAACAACAGATAGCATATTGCACCGTGTCATCATTTATTTTACAAATAGAAAGCCAAAATGGAGAAGCCATATGTTGACTTTTACTGCTTCCATAGATATGAAGAGGCCAAGTAGCAGCCAGGTACTGCTAATCAAGGGTCCTTGATCAAATGATCATCAACAAATATGACTAACTCTATAAAAGCTGAAGCTTCAGGAGTGTGTTCGTCTCCAGCATTGAGGTGTGTGTTAACACAATACCAAAGAGTAAAGACATCAGCAATGATCTTAGAGAAGCAATTGTTGCTGCCCATAAATCTGGGAAGGGTTAAAAGGCCATTCCCAAACAATTTAATGTGCATCATTCTACAGTGAGGAAGATTATTCACAAATGGAAAACAATCAAGACAGTTGCCAATCTTCCCAGGAGTGGAAATCTCAGCAAATTCACCCCAAGGTCAGGCTGTGCAATGCTCAGAGAAATTGCAAAAAATCCAAGAAAAACATCTCTACAGCTAGCATGTTAAATGTTGAAGTTCACAACAATACAATTAGAAAAAGACTGAACAAGTATAATTTGTTTGGAAGGGTTGTCAGGAGAAAGCCTCTTCTCCCTAAAAAGAATATGGCAGCACAACTTAAGTTGTCAAAGTTGCATCTGAACAAATCATAAGATTTCTGGAACAGCGACCTTTGGACAGATGAGACTAAAGTGGAGATGTTTCACCATAATGTACAACTGCAACATTTGATGAAAACCAAATAAAGCATGTCAGCACAAACATCTCGCACCAACCATCAAGCAATGGCAGTGGAGGGTTGATGATTCGGCCTTGTTTTGCAGCCACAGGACCTGGGCACCTTGCAGTTATTGAATCTACCAGAACTCCTCTATATACCAAAATATTTTAGAGTCAAATGTGAGGCCCTTTGTCTGACAGCTAAAGCTTGGCCTACACTGGATCATGCAATAGGACAATGATCCCAAGCACGCCAGTAAATCTACAACAGGATGGCTGAAAAAGAAAAGAATCAAGGTGTTGCAATGTCCCAGTCAAAGTCCAGACCTCAAATCAATTGAAATGCTGTGGTGGGACTTCAAGAGAACCGTGCATAAACAAATACCCACAAACCTTAATGAACTGAAGCAATGTTGCAAAAAGTGGGCAATATTCATAACGATGTGAGACTGATAAAGTCATACAGAAAATGATTACTTCAAGTTATTGCTGCTAAAGGTGGTTCTACAAGCTACTGAATCAGAAGGTGTACTTAGCTTTTTCAATATCGCTTCTCCACTTTGTCTTTCTTTTTATAAAATAAATGATGACATGGTGTAATATGTCATGTGTTGTTGTTCATCCAAGGATTTACCTACTTTTAAGAACTGCTAAGGACCAGATGATTTTTTACTATGTCCTTATAAATAAAACCATAGAACTCAGAGGGTGTTATTTCTTTTTCACATGTCTGTAGATAGAAAACAACTGATTTTAAAAATGGCTACTTTAATCACAAACCAATTCTAAACGGCTTACAATATAATAAAATGTTAATGACAGAAAACAGCAGCAACTCTTAAGACAGCACAAACAACCAATTCATATCAATTTCTTGAAAGAAACTAAAAGCAAACAAGATCTGTATTCCCAAAGGGTTATCATATGATATTGTTCATTTTTAAAAATAAAATTTTATAACAAATGTTTAAAACCTACTTTTGGTTTTTCTACAACTTTATACCAATCATTTGACAGTGCTTGCCATTTGGAAAGGTTGCTGAGCCTAGCACTTCACACACGAAGAAATGTAATAGAGACTCACCGGGGTCCTTTTACTGTTTCTGTGATGTGATTGCTCAGATGAAGATTCTCATGGATGATCTGCTCTACCTCAGGGTTGGTGTGAGTCAAATAACAGGGCAACTGATCTTCTGGCTGTAAAAGAATTATCAGGATTTGGTGAATGCATTAAATAATTTTTATACATGCCAAATATACATTAGGTTGACTTTGGATTCTGCTTACTGGAAAAAAAATCAAAAATTTTTTGATTAGAACTTCTTCACCAGCTAATGCCAAATGATACTAGATTAATCAAATGTCATTCAGAAAATTGAGCATCTAATTCTTTCTAATGGTGACCCATTTTTAAAATTATTCTTTGCTCAACAATCAGTTAAATACTATAATCACAATCTAGGATCTATTGGATGGATAAAGATTCTCCCTCTCCTGCATGTTTGCCCAGAAAAATTGAGGGATTTATGGAAAAGATTTAGGTAATGCTCAGGAAGAAAACAGTGAGAAATCTTGCATCAGCTGAGGAAGCATTTATGCACTAATGTATAGTTTTACAAATACTTTTTAATACTATTAGCATCAAGTACTAATCTTAAAAGCTATAATGTTAAATAATATATAAATGTATATATAACGTTCAAGAAGGGAATGAGGATAAAGTGTAAGAATCATATGGAAAGTCTGTATTAGAAAAATATCAGGAGAGAAGAGGAAATGGCTTTTAAAAGCTATCCTTTAAATTCTCTAAACCACAATTACACAATCTGCGATCCTAAAGCAACATACTATTCCCAAGAACTGGAACACAAAGTCCTCAAAGATTCTTCCCATTTCACTAAACATTCTTGATTGTAAATATATTATAACAATCTTAATTAATTTTTGCTAGCTCTAGCCACCAGTTTTTAGGTGACTTGAGAATACCATTCAAAGACCTAATGAAACCTGGTCCCCCCAAAATTAGGACATTTTTATATATATATATATATATATATATATAATCAACAGGCAGCCTTAACATTAGTGAAGCTTTAGAGAAACTGTTTCCCTAAATCTTAGCAATTCCTAACACAAAAATAGAGAAATACCATCATGTCCCTCCCTGTCACATAGAAACATACAGGAATAGAACTGTAACCAACTGTAATTGTACCTAGAACTGAGGTAGAACTTATATCCTGCTTTGAGCTATCCTCTGAGAACTGTCACTGAATGCTGCATTAGATGGCCTTTTGCCATGATTTATGAGGGTTTCTTTTATGAAATCCCCTAGCCATTCAGACCCCTTCCACATGGAAACAGCCATGTCTTTTCATATGCTGGAAAAGACCAGGACTATATGGATACACATGCACTCCCCTGCATTTTTTGGCCCACCTTAATCCACACAGCTTCACTGAGGAAGCTGAATGGCACAGGGGGGTTATCTGCCTCCTGTTTCTGAAGATGAGTGAAATCAATGGAGTCTCTCAGCAACCGTGGAGGAGTTCCAGTCTTGAGTCTTCCCATGGTAAATCCAATCTTTTCCAGCGTCTGGGCCAGGCCAACCGAGGGTTGGTCTCCCATTCGTCCCGCAGGATGCATTTCCAATCCGATTAGAACCATCCCTCTCAGAAATGTCCCTGTAGTCAGAATGACACTCCCAGAATGGACTTTTGTTCCATCTTCTGAGGATGACAAAAGAAAATGAAACGGGCCATGTATCATACTAACTTCTGCCTTGATTGTAAGCATCTGTTTTCTAGGCAAGCAGATTTAGATCAATACAGATAGCTACAATTTAGAAAAGAAAAACATTCACCTCAAAATTGTCTAAAATTCTAAAGCAGCTTCAACCTGGTATCTTTCAGGCATAGCTCAGAATTTTGGCAATTACAATTCTAAGATATCTGAAGGATATTAATTTAGGGAACACCACTCCAAGACATACAATGTTAATGTTTAAACTCTGTATCTTACACTTATATCATCTCATCTACAACAAAGGTTTATGTATAAATCCTGCTCTTATTTTAAGATATATGTATTTAATAGATATAGGTATTTAGTCTGATCTTTTATGAATATCAAAGAGTCACACATTGAACTAAATCACAAACCCTGAAATAAAACAATTTACTATCCTGAGCCAAAAAGTTATGACAGTACTGAAAAAGCAACTTTGTGACTGATCATTGTGCTTAAACTGTCACTGGGTCCCTGCTGTCACATGATCAACATTCAGGGGCTCTACATCTGATGGGGGCCTATGTGATCTTTGAGTGTCTTGCAGTCACATGGTCATCTGTACGTTTCACTGCCAGCTTCTGATAAGCAGAATCAATAAAAGGAGCCAGCAGTAAAATTGCAGTCACATATCTCACTTAACAACTGCAGTTGATTCGCTTAAAGACCATGTGTATTAAGTTCATTGCAGTTGTATGATTTCTTGCTTAATGACCCTGCCATTTAGCGACAGAGTTGCCAGTCCCAAGTGTGGGTGCTAAGCAAGGATTACTTGCAAATCAAAAAATGAAATTTGATTCAAATCTGCAATAGGAAAAAAAATGTCTTGTGAGAACTAAGATTAATCTTTATTTTTTGTGTACTAGAATTATTTTTGTGCCTCTGCATAATTTAAGGCTATTTCTATCAATCTGAACCAAATCTCCAGGGAAGCTGTCTTAATACTTAGGGGGAAGAAGAAAAAAAACAGCTTACCCTTGTTGGGTAAAAGTTCAATCGCATTATGTGACTTGTCAGAATCCCAATATTTACTTTCATATAGTTTGTTGGATTCTTTTTTAACTTATTACAAGGCAGGGAAATGGCTACGACCTTTAATTTCACCAGAAGGGGGCACTGCAGCAATCATTTTTTTTGACTTTAGCCTAAAAACTACTAGGAAGTTAAACCAGGTGAGGTCCTCCCATGCAAATCAGCGGTGACAGAAATAACTATCAAACTGCTACTCTAAGAAGCAGGAGTTTGAGTCAAAGTGTGGAGAGCCAGACAGCTTCTGGACCGAAAGTTTTAAGATATCTTAAAGTTTTCTCACTCACATTATATTGACTGAAAAATAAACAAAACTAATTTCTACAGAGTTAACTGGGCTAATTTCTAAACCGAATCCCACCTGCCACCATGTTCTAATGCAAATGAATGGAGACAGATTTTCTCATAGACTACTTTACAAAACAGCACTTGAACAAATAACTTGGAGGGGGGCAGGGAAGAAGTCCTAGTTATGAAAACCTTATGTACCAATCACCACCGAGAGCAACTAGGCTTCTCCAGGGCCTTGAAACAGATTTCCACAGCAATGAATGGTTCTCCGTGCAGATGGATGGAAACCTTGATTCAGGAAGTGGCACTTTCTTCCAATACTAACCCAGAATGACTCCACTGACACAGGATTTTCCAGGATGATTTGGCTCTGGTACTGTCAGCAGCAGATCTTCCACTGATGCTTCACAAGTGGTCAGGAGTGGGGTTTGCAGAATTTCTTTCTACTGGGGAAGAAAAAAGAATTGAACACCCTCACTTGGTCAAGATCTCCAATGGAATGAAAAGTAAACAAAAACCTTCCAATTACTAGCATGGAACCTTTCTTCCATCTCAAGAATATCTCTTTAGAGTGCAAGCCATTGGGTAAAAATTCAGGTTCCACTTTGCTACTGATAAATAAATCTTATTTTTTTTGTTCAGGATACCTTTATTGCACTTAGGAATTTCCCATGCTACCTGAGTTTATTAAAATGTAAGCCAGTGTATAAGAAAAATAGAATAGCTTTTGTTAGTTTGTTTACTGCACTTTCCTAAAGATTTATAATTTCACTATTTACAGTGAACCAGCAACATTTAATAAAGCTGGGCAAACCATCCAAAAGGATATTTCACAAAACAAAGCTTCTTTCTGCACTTGCAGATGGATATTGCATTGTTCACTGTGCTTTGGTGGCAACTGTGGCAGAGCTGTTTTCTGTGCATATACATGCACACTCAGGAGATTAAGAAGCAAATTCCCAGCCAGAATTTGTTTGGGAAATATATCAACCTTGGCATCTTAAGAAATAGGTTCAGACAGATGCTTTGTTCACTTTGCAAAGTGCTCTACTAAAGGATTTGCATGGTGTAGGGCTGAGATGATAAATTATAAAGAAAAGTTAGACTTTACAAGTGAAGCCTTGAACAAAATATCCCCTTTTCTATTTTCCCCTTTGACAATCAACCAGCATTCCTTATTAAGCACAATCAGCCCTGGATTTATTTTTTCAAAAGAAACTCTTTTCAAGTTTTTAACTTTCCCAAGTATTGGGATATCTATTTTGGTATGCTGTTTTGGTTTCATAAAGACTAACATTTGAGGGATATATAATATGATGATGTTATTTTTCCTTCCAGGTCTGCTCATATGAGTAGTTAATGGGGAAAAACAGAATAAACCACACCTATGAATTAAAGGTAGTCTTCTAAATAAATGGAGCAATTCTGTTGGTAGGACAAAGACCGCTGCTTCACTCTTATAAATTCCTTGTGCCCTTCAAATTTCTCTAGAAAAATTGGAACCATCTGGAACAGAGGAGAAAGTTCTTAGCGATGCAAAAAGAGGGGGGAATTTGGTAAAAATCTTCACAATTTCCAGATTGAGGTATAAGTTTTATAAGGTACAAATTTCAAAAATATGAAGAGATCTTTTCCCTATGCATTACAACATGGATTTCTCCCATTAAAACTTTGCATCTGAAGCCTTATATATTCCTTCAGTATCTTGTAAGAGGCAATAGTATATTTTTAAAATTAATAAATGAGATTAATGGACATTCTCAAAAATGTCTCAAAATTAATGCTATAAGAAAGCACTGTTTTTTATACATAGAATCCACAATGAATTCATGAATCTTTTGTTTATACATTTAGCAGTTGTTTTTTTTCATTTGTTGTTGTTGTTAATTGCGAAGTCGTGTCCGACCCATCGCGACCCCATGGACAACGTTCCTCCAGGTCTTCCTGTCCTCTACCATCTTCTGGAGTCCATTTAAGTTCACACCTACTGCTTCAGTGACTCCATCCAGCCACTTCATTCTCTGTCGTCCACTTCTTCTATTGCCCTCAATCTTTCCCAGCATTAGGCCCTTCTCCAGTGAGTCTTTCCTTCTCATTAGGTGGCCAAAGTATTTGAGTTTCAACTTCAGGATCTGGCCTTCTAAAGAGCAGTCGGGGTTGATCTCTTCTAGGACTGACTGGTTTGAACGCCTTGCAGTCCAAGGGCCTCGCAGGAGTCTTCTCCAGCACCATAGTTCAAAGGCCTCAATTCTTTGGCGCTCAGCCTTTCTTATGGTCCAACTTTCACAGCCATACATTGCAACTGGGAAAACCATGGCCTGGACTATACGTACTTTTGTTGGCAGGGTGATGTCTCTGCTTTTTAGTATTCTGTCTAGATTTGCCATAGCTTTCCTCCCCAGGAGCAAGCGTCTTTTAATTTCTTGGCTGCAGTCCCCATCTGAGGTGATCTTTGAGCCCATAAAAATAAAATCTGTCACTACCTCCATTTCTTCCCCATCTATTTGCCAGGAATTGAGAGGGCCGGATGCCATGATTTTGGTTTTCTTAATGTTGAATTTCAAGCCAACTTTTGCACTCTCCTTCTTCACCCGCATCAAGAGACTCTTTAGTTCCTCTTCACTTTCTGCCATTAGAGTAGTATCATCTGCATATCTTAGGTTGTTGATATTTCTCCCGGCAATCTTAATTCCAACTTTTGATTCATCTAGCTCTGCCTTTCTCATGATGTGCTCTGCATATAAGTTAAATAGGCAGGGCGACTGTATACAGCCTTGCCGGACTCCTTTTCCAATTTTGAACCAATCAGTGGTTCCGTGTCCAGTTCTCACTGTTGCTTCTTGACCCGCATATAGGTTTCTCAAGAGACAAATGAGATGGTCTGGTACTCCCATCTCTTTAAGAACTTGCCACAATTTGTTGTGATCCACACAATCAAAGGCTTTAGCATAGTCAATGAAGCAGAAGTAGATGTTTTTCTGGAACTCCTAGCTTTCTCCATGATCCAGCATATGTTGGCAATTTGATCTCTAGTTCCTCTGCCTCTTCAAAATCCTGCCTGTACTTCTGGTAGTTCTCGATCTACATACTGCTGGAGTCTAGCTTGTAGGATTTTAAGCATACCTTTACTAGCATGTGAAATGAGTGCAATGGTGCGATAGTTTGAACATTCTTTGGCATTGCCTTTCTTTGGAATTGGAATGTAAACTGACTTTTCCAATCCTGTGGCCACTGTTGAGTTTTCCAAATTTGCTGGCAAATTGAGTGTAGCACTTTTACTGCATCGTCTTTTAAGATTTTGAATAGCTCAGCTGGAATACTGTCACCTCCACTAGCTTTGTTGTTGCTCAGATTTTCTAAGGCCCATTTCACTTCACATTCTAGATGTCTGGTTCGAGGTCAATGACCATCTCATTGTGGTTATCTGGGATGTTAAGCTCATTCTTGTATAGTTCTTCTGTGTAGTTTTGCCATCTCTTCTTAATCTCTTCTGCCTCTGTTAGGTCCCTGCCATTTTGGTCCTTTATCATGCCCATCTTTGCATGCAACGTTCCCTTCATATCTCCAATTTTCTTGAAGAGATCTCTGGTCCTCCCTATTCTGTTGTTGTCTTCTATTTCTTTGCACTGTTCATTTAAGAAGGCATTCTTATCTCTTCGAGCTACTCTCTGGAATTCTGCATTCAATTGGGTGTATCTTTCTCTTTCTCCCTTGCCTTTCGCTTCCCTTCTTTCCTCAGCTATTTGCAAAGCTTCCTCAGACAGCCATTTTGCTTTCTTGCTTTTCTTTTTCTTTGGGATGGTTTTAGTTGCTACCTCTTGTACAATGTTGCGAACTTCCATCCATAGTTCTTCAGGCACTCTGTCTATCAGATCTAATTCCTTAAATCTATTTGTCACCTCTACTGTATATTCATCAGGAATATAATTTAGTTCATACCTGAGTGGCCTAGTTTTTTTTTGTTTTTTTTTTTTCATTTAATATCTAGTACATCCAATTAGATATTAGACTTTCTTCCAGGAAATAAAATGGCAGTCTAAGATACCTATTTTTCCACTTTGCTCTTTCCCATCTCACCTGCATGTTCTCTTTGTAGAGCTTTCGGTCAATCTGTGCCCTGAAACCCCAGACTGCTGGTCCCTTTCTTTTGTTTAGCACTTTGTAATGCACTCCAGACTGATCGCAGATTCGACCACAGACCCCATCCAGTGCATCCACTTCTCTTATGAGATGTCCTTTCCCAATTCCACCAAAGGAAGGGTTGCATGACATTTGTCCTGCACCAAACACAAGGTTCAATTTTTATATAGAAGTTTATGTATCATATAAAGACACACACACATAAAAATAGGTGTAAAGGCTGACAGGCACCGGAAAAATAGCTCCTGTGGGTTGGAAATAGCAACTTATTAGCAATTTAGTACTAGGACATTTGTAACAATGTATTTATTAACAATGTATGGCTAGAATGCAGGAAAAAGGTTAACAATTCCATATACCCACAGTTGTGTTATGAAAACCACATAACTTCCACTACGTTCTACATTATTGGGCAATTGGAAGAATGGCAGAATAGTCTACATTTAAAATGTAAAACAAAAGGTTTACCAAATCCTATTGGAAAGAAGTATGAAAGTAAAACACATAGGTATAGTCACACAACATGCTTAAATTGTTAACAGGACCATAGTTTACACAATTAATCCAATTATGTGTCTTTGGACAATGCAACAAATCCAAATAGCTATAATAGATGGGATAACGGAGATAAGTACCCTAGAGTCGGACACGACTGGGAAACCTTTCCCTAATGTGGTTGACTAGCTTTGTGTTCAAACACATTCACGGTTGTTCACACGTTCATGCCACTTAAAGGGGAGGCTTTACCTATGGAGTCTATTTTGTGTGTGATGAGCAAAGTCTGGGCTCCCACTCGGGCAGCCGCGGCCGCGGCCTCCACGCCAGCATGGCCCCCACCGATGACAATGACGTCATACTTTGACTTGCCCAACTCATCCGCCGCGCTCCCGCTGTTCCGCGCACGCTGCAACCGCGATCCGATGACCGACGGTACCGCGAGGCGGCGCCAGCCGCCACCGAAGGGAAACATCCGACAGTAGAAAGGTGAATAAATCACCGAGGCGTCGGGTAAACCACGGCAGAAACGGGGTTAAATTGAGAGCCCGGGGTTATTAGCCCCATCTGGCTCGCTGGACGCCGCCATCTTGACTCTTACGACAAAGGCATCTGGAGATTTACGTTTTACGGCTGGGACAGTATACGCATGCGCAATGGCAAGTGGGTGTGACGATTGGGGGCTAAGTGACTGAAGGGAAATGAAAGGAAGGCTACGTTGGTGGAAAGCCGAAGATTTTGAGCCAGCGGGCAGAGTGAGATGTTTGGGTTGGGCTTGCCTTCTTCCCTTAGAGATTATAATTTTTGTTTGGAAATCATGCTAGATTCGGTCCTTATTTTGGATGATCCAAGTGGCATTATTTGCATTCAGCATTTTTTGTCAGCTTAGGCTGTCCAGGGGTTATTTGGGTTTCTATTAGGCTAGAAAAATACAGGTCATTTTCCTGAAAATTGATGGGAATTCCCATGCTCCCTTTCAGAAAAAATGCACTGTATTTCAAGGCTGGAGGCTCCCTTTGAAAGCCACAGACAAATCAGAATCCAGTACATAGAGTCTATGTACTGGATTCTGATTTGTTTGTGGTTTTCAACAGACAAAGTCATAGACTTTGCTCTGACATCGGAATATGGCTTGCACCTCCTCAGGTATAAACATGTTGGTTTGAGATCCATTGAGGAAGCTATATTAATAATTACATTGCTGGGCACTCACTACTGTACAAGAGCCTAACACTCTTTTGCTGTGATGACACAAAGCCTCAGTACCATAGTAGCAGGTAGGTAGTAGACCCTATGTCTATTACAGTTTTCTTATTGCAATCTATTATTTTTGAATAAACATGCATGAGGGCAATACACATTTTCTCCAAGAATGAATTTAACAGCGTATTTCCTGTGGTAATTGTGAACGATGTCTAGCTGAGTTGGACAGTTCTACAAAATGTAAGTTTCCAAGAGTTGCTTTTGAATGCAGCTGCATACAAATGGGTTTAATAAATGCCATATAATTCAATGTCCCCCAAAATGTACTAGTCTGCCAATATACTGAGACAGCTCTGTGGCTGTAATGGAGCCTATAAAATGCATTATGTGTCAGTGCTGATGTCCTGCAATTTCCAATTAAGATCCCTAATGTATCAGCTCAATTCTCACCTATTGAGGGGTATGAACTACCAGCTAATAAACCAGCTAATAAACATTAGTCTAGATTGTTGCATGAACCCACCTTGTGCAATAAAGATCCAGTGTGCTGTATAAATTAAATAATGGCATCATATAGACTTAACCTATCATATGCAATACAGCTAGTATTATGGACACCAAAGTGTTTTCATTAAATATGTATATGATATAAAATGTGTGCTATACATTTATAAATACCCAGCTTGGTTTAGTGGTTAAGGCGCCAGGCTAGAAAGCAGGAGAGCATGAGTTCTAGTCCCACCTTAGTCATGAAAGTTAGGTGGCTGACTTTGAGCCAGTTGCTCTCTTGATGTGGGAAAAATACAAGGAGGAAGATGTCCTGGATATCTTTGCCTCCTTGAGTTATTTGTAGAAATAATATAGGCAGGATACCAAAAAAGAAATAGAAATAGATGTCCATTTTAAGCAGGGGGGGAGTAGTCTGTTGGCTGAATTTGAGCCCCACTGATGACAATGATGTCATATTTCAAAATGCTGAATTTCAGTTTCAGAACTGCCACAGTCCCACTGTTCCCAGCATACTGCAATTGTACCCTGATGACCACTGGTACCGTGAGGTGGTGCCAGATAATGACCAAAGGCCAATATTGAAGAATAGGAGAAGGACAAAATGTGGGGTGAACTTGAGAGCCTGGGAATGCCAGCAGAGTCTCCCTTAATAGACATTGCCATCTCTTGCCTGTGATAACAATGGCTAACAGGCGCCTGAGGATTGTATTTGTTAGGCCTGGAAAATTTTGCTCATGCACTCTTGTAACTTGGCCTGACAGACTTCTCTGACGTCTTTTGCAGGAAAACATACAGACTGATCTTCATTGGGCAGCAGTCTAGGGGGGGGGGCTGCTTGACTTCAGAGATGTCATGTGATTATGCATCATGACCCATGCCACAGTTCTTCGTTGATCCACGACATTGAAAGAGGACATGTATCATCCCTTTTCGAGACTATCCCATTTATTCCCTGGCAGGTTTTATAAATGAGAGGAATTATATGGTAGAGTTCTTTTCCTAAAGGAAACCTTTTTATAGGGTTTCTAGAGTTTATCGAGTTTCAAATTAGTAGCATTTATTAGCCATAATTCCATGGTTGACAAACATCCAAGTAGAAAACAATACCCTAATCCAGGAACAGCCAAAGACAAAACTGCAGCCCCATCAACACTGGCAGGACAAGCTGCTGTATATAAAGAGGGAGAAAATCCAACCCCCTTCCAGCAATGAAGAAGTTAAGGAACTGCCTGTAAGCAAATAACAACTTCAGGGAGCACCAAGGACTCTACAGCTCAACTTTGAGTTACATATACTATATTATCATCTATTGGCATGATGCCCAGGCGTGACCAGACTTCATATTTAGAAAATCTATTCCAGAGCTACCAAAACTGACATCGCAAAAGGAGCAGTCATGTGAGCCGAGGTGGCGCAGCAGTTTAGAGTGCAGTACTGCAGGCCACTTTAGCTGACTGTGTTCAGCAGGTCAGCGGTTCAAATCTCACCGGCTCAAGGTTGACTCAGCCTTCCATCTTTCCGAGGTAGGTAAAATGAGGACCCAGATTGTTGGGGGCACTGTAAATATATATATACATTGCTTACTGGTGTACACCGCTTAGAGAGTGCTTGCACTTAAAGTGGTATATAAGTCTCACAAATAAATAAATAAATAAATGTTTCAGTTAATAATCGCTTAGCAACAGGAACTCCAGTTCAAATTGTGGTCATTAAGTGAGGACTTCCTATACTCTTAAAACTCTCTTCAGAAGAGAGTTTCAGGTACTAGACTCCTGATTGTTTAAGCATCTGATATTTTGAGAGTAAAATTATTAAAATCTCCCAGCATAAGCAACATGATATCCACACACACACCTCCTTTGGTTCTGACCAGTTTCTCTGCCCTTCTTAAAAGTTCTCTGTCTTAAAAGAATAAGCCTTTAGCACCAGTCTCTAGCATCAGAATTATCTACAGCAATATTTATTTTCTTGTTAGCTGATCCTCTGATTCCACCAAATGAATCAACAGGATTTTGTACTACTGTAACATTTTTCCTAATATTGAAAATTATTGAAAAATAGAAAAATAAATAAAGCTCTGAGTAGCATTCAGTTTGCTTTGCTTTTCCTTTGAGGTCATGCTTCATAATGGTGCTGACAGGTGGATGAGCTCACAAAGGAGAAGTAAATAAAACTTTTGGTGGGCTGAAGGAAAGCTCTTATGGGTGTTGAGTATTGGTGACTTAGATCAAATTTTGGTTTCATTTTATTTCAACAGATTAGATCCGTGATGGCAAACCTATGGCACATGTGCCACAGGTGGCACGCAGAACCCTCTCTGTAGGCACGCTGCCATCACCCCAGTCCTAGGCCTTCAACTGGGTATTATAAAATCTTTTCGCTTTAGGCCTCTGCCACCATGTGCAAAAAAAAAAGTCAATTTCAACTTCTTGCGGGAAAAAAAAAGATCTCGCAAAGTTGGAATTGATTGATTGAACTTTTTAGTCCCACCCAGTCTGCCATTACCACCACAGCCCCACCCACCCAATGGACCACGCCCACCCAATTGGTCACACCCATCCAATGGGCCACGCCCACCCAATGGGCCACGCCCACCCAGCACCCGACGATACATAAGTGGGCTTTGGGTTGCAGTTTGCGCATTCGGTCTCTAAGAGGTTCGCCATCACTGGCTTAGATTTAGTTTACTTTTCAGTATCTATTTGCTTGTTTATTTGCTTATTTATCTTATTTAATATCACATTTGTTTATCTGGATTAGAAAAGCAAAACCAAGTTGAATGTAGCATGGATTGATTAGAAGAAGGCATTTCACTCCATGTCACATGATTGGATAATCAAGTGCCTAGAAATAACATGAGTCAATAGAAACAGCAGAAGCTTTTTCCAAAATCTATGGGACAAGGGAAGACATTGCTAATGAATGGTAAGAGCAAGGGAGAGGTTACTAATAAAAGAGAGGAATAGTTCAAGGAGATTCGTCATCACCATTACTGTTTGTCACTGATTGCTCTGTCAAAAATACTGAATAACTCCAAGAAGAAACTTTGCAAGACCATAAACAATTTATTATGTGCTGCTAGCCGCAGAGGCAGAAGCAGGTAACAGCGAACTCTTTTCGCTAATGTACATCCAAGTAGTTTTTGTTGACCTGTGCTATGATTATTCCCAAACAGCAACATTTCCAGAAATCTATAGATATTTAGAATCCAAATGAAATTTTAATATAGCTCCTTCCAGATCACAGTTTGAGAAATTACTGTTTCTTAGAAGAGTTACATGTACTAGATGCAAAATTAATGTTGTTTTAAAAGTTGTCTACAGTTTACAATTGTAAAATGAATCTGTCTTATTTAGTTGGAGCTGTGCTTCTGTAGGGGGTTTTCTGTCCTGTATCCTTTCATTGTTGAACACCAGTTCAGGCTGATGGGATTGAGTCTGTGTTGTCTGCATCTCAAATTTCCTGTAGTCTGAAAGTTTTCTGGAAATCCATTCATACCCTCACACCATTCAAAGTGTGTTCATCGCAAATTGTATAGCTAAATGTCTGTGGATTTTCTCAATCATCCCGGTCATAGTTGTTTCAAAAGTTCCAAAAGGCAACTGGACTGTTTTTCCTTGAAAATGAAGAAAACGTTTCACTTCTCATCCAAGAATCTTCATTAGTTGTGATGGGGGGGGGGGAATGGAAGTGACAGTTGGGGTAGTGACAGTTGGGATTGGATGGTGGGGGGGGGTGAATAGAAGGATAAATACTGACAGTTGAGACTGGATGGTGGGTGGGATGGAAGGATAAATACTGACAGTTGAAACTGGATGGTGGGTGGGATGGAAGGATAAATACAGTTGAGACTGGATGGTGGAGGGAATGGGGATAAATACTGACAGTTGAGACTGGATGGTGGATGGGATGGAAGGATAAATACAGTTGAGACTGGATGGTGGGAGGGGAATGGAAGGATAAATGCTGACAGTTGAGACTGGATGGTGGGGGGAATGGGGATAAATACTGACAGTTGAGACTGGATGGTGGGTGGGATGGAAGGATAAATACAGTTGAGACTGGATGGTGGGGGGGAAATGGAAGGATAAATGCTGACAGTTGAGACTGGATGGTGGGGGGGGGAATGGAAGGATAAATACTGACAGTTGAGACTAGATGGTGGGTGGGATGGAAGGATAAATACAGTTGAGACTGGATGGTGGGTGGGATGGAAGGATAAATACAGTTGAGACTGGATGGTGGGGGAATGGAAGGATAGGTTCTGACAGGATGGTGGGAGAATTCCTCAGCCAACAAAGCTGGAGTTGGAGGCCACGGACTTAGTGGATAAAATCCAAACTCGAGCTGTAACTTTCTAACTACTAGAGAGTCCAGTCTACCCTGAGAGAGTCTAAGCTTGTGACTACCCTACCCTAAACCACTTCCATGCTCCCCCATCCAGCTCAAGGCTGTGCAATCTCTTGATCCAGGTCTCTTTCTGGGAAAACTCTGCTGCCAAAACTCTTCCCCCACTGCTCCTGCAGGTGCACATGCCATCAGACTCAGTCCTGGTCGCCTAATCTGCTCTTAAAGGCTTTTTTAAAAATCAAAAGGGATGGGGGCGACTTAATTATGGGAAGAACACTCTGTAGGGAGGGTGCCAGAGCTGAGAAGGCACGTGTCATGCGACCCACCAAATATAGATCGGTGGCCGTCTTGAAGTTCTTTCAAGAGAAATGGGCAAGTGTATCACTCCTTACTCATTGAGCACTGGTAGTTTAGATCAGGTTTTGTTTTTATTTAACTGCATTTATATAGCTTAGGTTTAGTTTATAGTATTTTCTTATTTATCTTATTTAATATCACACTTGTTTATTTAGTTTAGTTTACACACAATGTTTATTTGTTTATCATACTTAATATATTTATTTAGTTTAGGATTAGTTTAGTTTAGAACATTAAATTAAGGATGGAGACATTCCTATACTATGCAGGGAAACTCCTGTTTGAGGTAAGAGATCGTCTTATTTATCTGTTTGTTTGTCAACTTGCATGTGCAACGTTAGGATTAGTTTAGGATTCAAAGTAACATGACCTAATTATAATGAAATAAAACAGGAATCAAAGGAATCTAGGAACAAGCAAAAATTGCTTTAGAATACTTTTTAGAATAACTTTTGAACTTGAATATTTAAAAACTATCTGCACATCTTTCAAGCCCTTTCTTGGTGAATTGTGTTAATATCTTCAATTTAAACATGTTCACAGGACAGCCTTCCAGCAAGGCTGGGAAACATGACTCTGCAGCCTTTGTGGGGCTGGGTGGAGCCCTCAAATCCCCTTTCCTAATTCATTTTTAACATCACTTGCCTCTTTTAAATCAAGCAATTCAGTCTTAGCTGCTATCATATCAGGCTGATTTAACTTTACAGAAAACAATCCATCATGCACTGCTAGCTGCAGAGGCAGAGCAGGTAAAAATGAACCTTTTTCACTAATTTATATCCAAGTGGTTTTTGTTGACCTGTGCTATGATTATTTCCAAACAGCAATATTTCCAGAAATTTATATATATTTAGAATCCAAATAAAATTTTAATATATTTCCTTCCCAATCACCGTTCTGAGATATCATAATTTCTTACAAGAATTATATATTTATATGTAATATTAATATTGTTTTAAAAAATCTATTTAGAGCTAGAGGATTAAATTTTATCCCTTACAGATTTTTACAAGTAGAGGGAAGGGTTAGGGTTATTATTTATTATTTATTCTCAGCAGCTTCATTTCTAATCAGCCTGTTGCTAAAAATCTAAAATCACCATACTTTGTCCTAACTACTACAAAGTGCTTTAGAACAAATGGTCGGAAAGCAACCAAAGTGCACTGCAACTGGATATGATTCCAGCCAGAAATAAAACTCTCTCCATCTCTGCCAAAGGTTTATGAAGAAGTGTTACAAGCTGCGTATGTGTAGGTTAGAAAAGAATTAAAGGAAGGCAGGACAGCTTTCTGGGTCTTGTAGTTTTTTCTTTAATAGCATGAGTCTTGAGACAGTATCACACTGATTTACTTAGTAAATTTGCCTCCTCCAGTTGGTTTGCCATCAGGTGTTCAAAATGTCTTGTTTTGGCAGGTCTGTCTCCAGAAATATAGAGAGAGGCAAAGAAAAGAGAGGGAGCACGTAGATGAAATCATGGCAAGGCATCAGGTGGAGCAGGCAGAAAAAAAAGCCAGAATAACAGTTATAAGTAATTCATTTCCCTTAGAGTCCTGTCTTTTAGCTTCTCTTTTTGTCTGCTTATTTCTGTTTTATGACTGATGTATGCTTCTTAACATTTCTGTATATTAGCTCGAAGAGGAAAATCAAAGACTTGTCAGAATATGGCAAATATCATGGAGCTCACTTAACAAATGTCTCACTTAGCAACATAAATTTTGGGCTCCATTGTGGTCGTAAGTTGAGGACTACCTGTAGGCAAGAGATGGGAAACAGAGGGGGAGGGGGAGAAAAATTGTCACGTCATTCTCTTTCCAATTATAAACACTCTCAGGAGGTTGAGGACATCTCCTTGACACGCTTTGGAAGAAGTCGTCCCTCATAAATAAATAAAATCGCCACAGTCAAAAGAAATGTTATTGTCACTCATTTATGGTGATTCTCAGTTCTGTGGATTATGGTTGTCCCAAAGGTGGGGTTTTTTTTTCCAATCAAGAAAGTCCAGTTGCAGTTTGAAAAAAAATAAATAAAGCACCTTTGGGTTATTATCACTCATTGCTAGGCTATGACACATTAAGAAGGGGCAGACCTTCGCTTCTGATTCCCGCGCTTGGGGCACAATGGGGTGCATCGCTCAACCAATGGCAAGCCGCAAAGAGGGCTTCCAATTGCTTTGCGATTGGATGATCCGGCGTTCTGGCGCCAAGTTCGAAACTCATATAAAGCGGCGAGCGGGCTCCTTCTCGCTTTTCTCCGGTTGGCTATTTTGTTGCTTCTCTCTTCGCAAGCTGAACGATGTTCTCTACTCGCAACCCTCTCTCCCTTCATAATGAGCAGCAGCTTCAGTTTTCGCCTAAGAAGAAAATGCCCTTGAACGACAAGGAGAACACGGTGAGTCTAAAGGGGACCGGAATTATGAATCTCCCGGAGGATGAATTTTTAGCGGAGTGAAGCAAAAATACCCCTTTGTATGGGGAGGGGGGAAGAATCCCTCTAATGAGAGTTGAGGAAAACGATCCTCTCGCTTTCTTAAGAAACTGCAGGAGACTGTGCAGGTCATATTTCCAGCACAAACTGAGGAACACGAGATGGGCTGGGGGGAGGAAGGCGGCGGCTTTCTTGAGCCCATAATTTGTGCAATAAGTGTGGCTCCCCGGAGACGCCCTTTGTAGACAGCCACGGCATTTTGCTCGATTCGCTTCCAATTATTTGTGGGGGTGCTTTCTTAATATAAATATTCACCGGGGATTCAAAGTCGTTAATGCGATCCAGCCTTTTAAACATATCGAACTACAATTCCCGCCATCCTTTGCTTTTGGCGGTTCTTCCTGGAATGGTGGGAACTGAAGTCCCCAAAAATGCACGAAGGGCACCGAGTTACCGCTGACCTGCAGCGAGCCCTCCAGAAGGCTGGTCCGTTCTCAGCCCGGGAGAGTCCTAGAAGTCTGCACCTAAAGGACTCACGCGGAAAAGGCGCGCTCTCGAGAGGCGTCCCAGGCCTTCGGGCTTTCCCGCCTTTGAAATCCGCTCTGACCTCGGTTTCCGTATCTTTTCGCCTTCCTAGCCTCCCTCGTTCAACGCCACCCGGGTCCTGGCGACCAAGACGGCGCGGAAGATATTTCGGGAGCCGGGCGCCGAAGCGGTGAGTTCCGTGGTGCGAGCGATTCGTCTCACGGATTTTTTTTGGGGGGGGGGATTTCTCGAAGGGTTCAAGGGAGGGATGGGGGGGAGGGTGTGTGGATGGAAGATGGTCCTTTGTGTGGAAAGGGGGGGGAACCTTCCCGCCGCGTAGGAAGCAGTGAGGGCGGGACTCAGTTGTCTTCTCTGAAGCTTTGGCGCCAAATGCCCAATTACGCAAAGATTGGCCTTTCCTGTTAAGGGGGAACAGGAGTGAATTTTGGGCCTTTCAGCGGGCCCCAGCTGCTTTTCTTCTTCAAGGGATTAAAGTTTATTTTCTTAGGTTTAGCAACACATTTAGAATGCTTTGTGGGATAGTTGAATCAGCTGAGCAAACAATTTAAAGGAGAAGGCTCATTTTTTTGCAATTGCAGGGGTTTTTGGGGGGCCCTCATGTACTGTCCTATTCTAATTTCTGACCTGGCCCGTCTAACTTGTCTGGTATAGATTTAGTGTTTTACACAAACACAATATTTTTTAAACCTTTTAAAGGAATATTCTTGAATTTATTATTTTTTTCTTATTTTTCTCTTTTTAGTTATACTGTTCTCTGCCCTTCAACATTCTTGTGCTTTTGATCCCGTAGCATTCTAACTTTTTCCTCAGTTGACCATTAAATTCTTATCTGTATACAAAACCCATCTGCCTCTTTTATGATTCTTTTTAGGATGTAAAGTAGAATCTAAGAAGTTGGGCTTTTATTCTCTTTTTTTTAAAAAAAATCAAGATTTGGTGTGGTTTTATTACTGAATTTATCATAATCTTAACTATTGAAAATGTTTTCTCATAGGAATGCTTCTAACATGGTAATATATTACACTTGTACTTTTCAGGAGGTACCTAAAGGAGCAAAGCCGCTTCCATCAAACAATGTGCAAGATGAGCCTCTGTTAAGGGATAATCCTCAACGTTTTGTCATTTTTCCTATTCAATATCATGACATCTGGCAAATGTACAAGAAAGCAGAGGCGTCATTCTGGACAGCTGAAGAGGTGAAGGCCTTTTATTCTCTCTTTCCTTTGAGGCTCTGTGGTGGAGGTAGGAGCAGTGCTAACAAGATAGGTGTAGAGTAACTGTGAAGCAAGCCAGTCTGACCAAATTGCTGGATTAGGACTAGGAAAGAGGTGTAGTCCTGAACTCAGTCATGGAAACTCACTAGAGTGTCTTTGAACTAATCAATATCTCTTTGCCCAATCAATTTTGGATGCATCTCTGTTGAGGTAACAATGGAAGAGTGCTACTTAAATTATTATTCTACTTTTGAAAAGAAAAATGTTTTTAAAGTAATTGCTTGTATTGTGACTATTCTCACTGGCTGTTTGGTGTATTTAGGTGGATCTTTCTAAAGATCTTCAACATTGGGAATCCTTAAAACCTGAAGAGAAGTATTTCATTTCCCACGTCTTGGCATTCTTTGCGGCAAGTGATGGTATTGTCAATGAAAACTTGGTAAGTGTGTTCAATTTTTATATTCAATATGTCAACATAATTACCCTAATTTTCTTTATGTATCTTTCTTTATATTGCCAGTAATCTACTGCAACTACAGCAAAGGGTCGAGTGACCCTTTCTACCTTACTTTAAAAAAGCAGTTCAGATTTACTATCAAAAGAAGCAAGCAGTAATGTTCTCCTACCCTTTTTTTTAATTCTTCTTAGATTAGAAATATAAAATCTGTTATAGTGCCCACTTCCTCATAAGGCTTTTCTGTAGCTTTTCTAGCAGATTAAAAGAAGAAATCCTTGTTTATGAATAAGGAATCTTTTCCTAAATCCTTAGCACCACAGGTTGAAACATGAAACCAGAGGAAAAGCTATGCAAGCTCTAAACTTTTATGGGTTATAATTTTAAATTTCTTGTCCCAAAGGTGCTTTTTTAGGAGGCAACTGGACTTTCTTGTTTTGCTTTGAAGATATTTCGCTTGAATGAGAAGCGAAACATCTTCAAAGAAAAACAAAGTCCAGTTGCCTCCTAAAAAAGAACCTTTGAGACAACCATGACCTGGATGACCGAGAATCTCCATGGTCATTTAAATGTCCTGATTTTTTTCTAATATCAAAATAGCTTTCAATAATATGCAAATGAGATTTTTCCTTTAATCTTGGTCATTCTGTTTTTGATCTGCTTGGCACATTTCATTCACTCTTCTAGTTTTTGCTTTCTGCTTTTGTGCCACTATTACAAGCTAACATGTCCAATATAATTTTTCTGACTTCAAAAATGTAGCTGAAAGATAAAAAGATCCAGAACTATAGGGAATACGTGAAACGTTCCCATAAATAATCAAAAGCGTCAGGAGACAACTACCAATGGATAAATGGCTTGTGATAGAAGATTGATGGGTAGACATCTGTCTTTGTCTCCTGTAAATTGGCAGGTCTAGGCTTGCTAGCTTTTTTTCTAGTCAAAGCTTTGGCAATTAGGACTCTCTTTGCAGTGATATTTGGCAGGTTCCACGTGCTTGTTGAGTTCAAATTATTATACAGGTAGTCCTCAGACTACAGCCATTTGTTAAGCTACTATTTGAAGTTACAATGGCACTGATAGGTTACAAGTAGTTCTCAGGATGCTGGCTGTCCCAGCATCCTGGGACCATGTGATTGTGATCTGGGTTCTTGGCATCTGGTTCATGCTTTTGATCCCGTTGTAGCAGCCCAGAATCTTGTGATTTGTGGCCTTTCCTACCAATTTACTCAATAAGTTGGTGGGGAAATTGTCCAGGAAGGTCACAAGTTGTTGGGTTAAGTCACCCCCATTTGCATGTAGTCCCCCAGCCCTTCTCTGCTCACACCATGCTGGCTATTCATGTGTTTCTTGGGAACTCTTATTCCCTTTCTCCCAGCTGCAGCTAACCTGCCTGCTGACTTGGGATTTGCAACTTCCTCACTGATTTTGGTAGTAGGAAGTTGCCTTACCTAAAATCTTAGTTAATCACAAAAATTGGAACCAGAAGCAACACAGTCACAGCATGATGCCACATGACTACTGCTTAGCAATGGCAATTCTGGAACTTCAGGTTTCTGTCATTAAGGAAGCACATCCTGCCATTTGTGGCCTCCTGCTGTCTCCCCCATTGACATTGCTTGTCAGAAGCTGGCAAAAAAGGCTGCAAAGGGCAACTGCAGGATGCTGCAGTTGCTGGAACTCCACTCGTTCAATGCTGTTTGGAAGTTTGGATGGTTGCTGAACAAGTGATCCTTAAAGGATGACCTGGTGTAGTATAGATTATGTATAAGTTGATCATTGGATAGTATCTATGAGTAAGCTAACATAGGCACAACGCCACATAAATATCTCTAGATGCAATGCTTTTCAGAAGGGCTGGTTATGTATTCAGATTATAGTGGGTTGTAGAAAATTAAGCTTAAATTGATGAATATGAGCTCTGCATAGGGTACTTGTGTGGAGAAAAGTGGAAGGAGGTAGTTTGAGTAAGCTAAAGAGTATGACCTTTTAGAGGAGCAAAAGTAGTAGTAAATTTAAAGCTATTCGAATATGAAAGATACTTTTGGATGCTCTGAACTAAAGTTCTGATGCCTGCATGGATTAGAATGCTAGTGTTCCATGCAGAAGTGGTTGGGAAGGAATCTATCGTTGCTTTGGGCAGAGGACACAGTGGGTATATCCTACCACAGAGGTCTCCAATCTTTCTTGGTTGGCGGATCAGAGGGAAAGGGAGGGGGAAGCATTTTACATGCACGTGCACGCACACAAACGGGGCCACGAGCATGCACGACGCAAACGGTGGTGCAAGTGCCCACATGATACTAATAGTGCCCTATTTTTGCCATGTGGCACCCCATTTTTATAGCAGCGGCGGCACTGGGCAGCCTGTTCTATTGGCCCAGTGGGCCACAGCCCACAGGTTGAGGACCCCTGTCCTACCAGCTCTGTCATTCCTAATCTTCCTTATGGCTACCTTCCCTCTATTAAAGGGTAGGCTATGGCCAGTAAAATCTGAGAATCAGATTGACAGGCTATGCTGTGTTGGGATGATAGCAGTGGGGAAGTGAAGAAATGACTACGTTTGTTCTATCCAACCCCACGCCATGCAGAGTTTCGAGCAGGGGATGTTATATTCTGAGTTTGAAAGAAACATTGTCATGTACTTACCTAGTTTTAGCAGAATAGGTTTTATCAAAAAATACTTAGCATATGTTGTGTAGGCTAGACTGGGAAGTTGCAAAACCATCTGGAAGAAAGCAATGACAAATTGCCTTCATAACGCCAAGAAAAATACATGAATTAGCTTGATTCAAAAACATATTTTCCTTTTTTTCAAGGTGCAAATCTGACTTCAGTTCTTCTAGTAATCTGACTATTTAGATGTATTAAAATGGGTAATTAAAATGGAAGGAATGAAACTGGCCTATTGATATCTTAGCCTATTAAGCAAGTGAACCATCTGAATATGTGTTTGAGTATTAATTTTTCAAAAACTAAATTTAATAACAATATATTCTTGCCAGATTTTGAACAGGCTAAAACTAATGTCAATTGCTCCTTGAAGTTAAACATATACGTACACTGCATGTATAATTTGTTTATACGGAGCCTTTGGGGAACCATATTTCAAATTGTGGGCCAATTCTTTATTTGCTAAAAGTGACGCTCTGAGATTGAGTATAATTTACCGAGAACTTGGCATATTTGGACTTGGAAGATAAATGACATTTGTATTACATATACAGGAAACTAGTTACAAATAACCTGATCAAATGCTTTGTAACTTATTGTAAATATCTATCCTCTAGGTGGAGCGATTCAGCCAAGAAGTACAAGTCACAGAAGCACGCTGTTTCTATGGCTTCCAGATTGCCATGGAGAACATTCATTCAGAAATGTATAGTTTACTTATTGATACTTACATTAAGGATTCTAAAGAACGGTTAGTACTGTTTCCAGATACATGCCAGCATACTGCATTAAATATTTACTGAATGTGCACAAACACTTCAAATATGAAAACCGTAGCTGTATTCCTTAGTTTTATAGAAATTCTATAAGTAAGGGGTTTTTTTTTTGTATAACAGTACAGAAAGGATACGTATTCTCTTTTGTAAAACAGAAACAACTGTCAAATCCTACAGTGCCTAAGAAAACTATGCAGACTCTCTGTAGAGTTGGAAGTATTTTGGAATCTGCAGGAGAGTGTACATCTTCCTGTTGTCAGCTCAAATCTTTTTTTTGTGTGTGCGTGCCACAAGAGCTAGAAAAAAAGGCAGTTTCTTTAAGGAGTTGTTGATGTAATATAAATATCTGTTTACTCCTGTTCACATTCTCCCCTTCATATCTGGGTTGCTGCAGTGCAGATGTAAGCCTGGTGTTATGCCGAGATCTTCTGAACAACTAGCCTTTCTGTTATTTAGTCCTTTCCAACTCGGTTTAAAAGCTATCCAAGATAAAAATTTGGAATTGTTTCCAAATTTGCTTGGATATCTGCATGCTCTGAATGATTATGTTTTCAGAACCTAAGAGTACACAAAAGAAATTGCTAGCTGTTTTCTTCTATGTAGTTCTGGACATTTGTCTATTGCTGGGCAAAATATTTCAGACAATGGGGTAAAAAGCTGTTAACATGTGTCATCCTCAGTTTCCCAGTTGTCATAACAATAGACCGAACTTGTCTTTTCCCCTGTGATCTGTAGTGACGTACTTGCACTTTTACTTTTGGGCACTTTTCTCAGCCATAATCAGTATGTTCCTACATTTGGAGCTAGGAGATAAAATGAGGCATTAGTGAGGGAGAAGATAATCTCTTGAAGCACCAGTTACGTGCTATATCCAAAGGTACTGGATTGAAATTGCATTTCTCCATCCTTGCATAAAGCAATGCCACTGACGCCATAATAAGGGCCGTCAGAAATCCCAGTTTAATTGACCAGTGGGATGGTAGCGAGATTGACATTTGTTTTTGTTCAAGTGATATAACACCCCACCATCTGAAAGATCCTATATTTGTAAGCTGAAAAGCTGTTTGAATTTGTTTATGTAGTTTTAGGGTATTTTCTAAACTCAATGCTAATCCCTGCTATAACTGGGCATTCCCAGAGTGTGCATATTCTCCTCCTTCAAGAGTAGAAATGGAGATCTGCTCTGAGAAGATCAGTCTGGCTTTGGGACTTCCCAGTTAGTGTGGAATCTCCTGCAGTCGGCTCTTCACAAGAGCAGCTATGAGAAGGGAGAGGTGGCAGCTCTCAAAGTATTATGCAAATCAGAATAAATTCTACCACAGGGGTCTTCAAACTTGGCCCTTTTATGACTTGTGGACTTCAACTCCCAGAATTCCTCAGCCAGTGTGCCTGGCTGAGGAATTCTGGGAGTTGAAGTCCACAAGTCATAAAAGGGCCAAGTTTGAAGACCCCTCTACCACCTTTAGAATGGCTAATGAGATCAGTTGCAGGGAATTTACCTTCAAAGTGGTTGGAAAGCAAAGGAAAAGAATTGGGCCATTTTTTTTTCTTTTATGACACGTACCAGGCAGGATTTATTTTAGAGACAGTGATGCATTCAGGTAGGATTGCTCTAGAAATGTCATTTTAGCAATTATTTAGCAGGGATAACTGGCATGATAACTTCAGAAGCATATCTACCGGCACTATCTTGTTCTTTTAGGGAATTTCTGTTCAATGCTATTGAAACCCTGCCATGTGTGAAAAAGAAAGCTGATTGGGCCGTGCGATGGATTGGGGACAAAGAAGCCGCTTATGGTGCGTATTGTACTAGTTTGACTTTCCAGGTGTTTTTCCTTTATGGCATTTGAGCCAGTTTTCATGTCCACAATGCTTTTTTCTCTCTTAACAGGTGAACGTGTAGTAGCATTTGCTGCAGTTGAAGGAATCTTCTTTTCTGGCTCTTTTGCATCAATATTTTGGCTAAAGAAACGAGGTCTGATGCCTGGACTTACTTTTTCTAATGAGCTGATTAGTAGAGATGAGGTATGATTTGTTGATCAAAGAAACTAAGATGGGTTGGTTCCATGAGAGAGTTAGTTAATGCTATAAAATTGAAAAATGCTGTAGTGTCAAAGCTTGAATGATAATAGTAGTTGCCTATGTTTGCTTTATTGGTGCTAACAGTAGTGCCCTAACTGATTATATGGCTTTTTTGTACAAACCTTAACTAGCGTGCTACTTTGTTTTTGATAACAGAAAAACAGCTTCTTCAAATTGTTCTTTGAAATATCTTCCAATTATTCTTTACAGGGCTTGCATTGTGATTTTGCTTGTCTAATGTTCAAACACTTGGTGCACAAACCAACTGAGGGAAGAGTGAGGGAGATCATCATAAATGCTGTCACAATAGAGCAGGTAATTGGCAGTTCTTTCTGGTAATTGCAAAACATTCTCACATCAAAGTAAGAGGAGCTTAAACTTAGCAAGGCATTTAATGGTCTCTATGGCACAGTGTTCATGTGTTAAGATACTTTGTTTACTTAAATGCAGGAATTTTTGACAGAAGCATTGCCTGTAAACCTAATCGGAATGAACTGCATTTTAATGAAGCAGTATATTGAATTCGTAGCAGACAGACTGATCCTGGAACTAGGTTTTAACAAGGTAAGTCTTGTGCTCTGTTTCTTAACAACTACCATGCAATCTGTTTATATTTATATTTAAGCCTGCCTTTTTGCCATTAAGTAATTGGCTTCTGGTTCCTTAGTGCTACTTCATAGTTAAGCAGAGCACTCTTGCTATGACATCCCTTATTTATCTCAATTTATAGTAAGTTCAAATGAACTCTGTGTAAATGCATTATAATGCTATTGCAGCTTTGCATTGTGAGCCATTTTGCTTTAAATAACTATTTCCAGACTATCTCCTGCTTTTAAAGATATTATTGGACTTGTACCTTTCCAACCCTCAAATCCAAAGTGTTTTGGATCTGGCCTTTATACATACTAGCATCTGCCAGCTTTGGATCTCTGCCTCCATGCTGGCATGTGCTTAAAACTCTGAAATGCAGGTGCTCTGTAGTATTAACAGTGGACCTAGGGTGGCATGATGTACTTCTTTAATAGCTCTTGCTTCATCATGCTAAAAGTAGAATCCATGCTCTGTTTTCTTTCCAGAGTAATTAAGGGCTAAATCATGAATCTAGGCTTAGAATATTAAAAGTGGAATAGAAACAATGTTGTGGTGTATTAGGGAACATCATGTTGTCAAGTCCTGCATTTGGAAAAAAAATCAACTTTTATTTACCTCTAAGAGAATACTAGTAGGGAGAATTATATGCAGAAGGTGGCAGCTGTGAAATACATGGCCAAGGGAGAGCTCTAAACAAAATAGGGATATTGTGGAATAGGTGATAATAGGCCTTTGAGATTAAAATATTTTTTTTAACAAAAATGGCTTATGTTTTGATTTAGTAATAATAACCGTATGCCTGAATTATCAATTTCTTTCAGATATACAAGGCTGAGAACCCATTTGACTTTATGGAGAATATCTCTCTGGAAGGCAAAACTAACTTCTTTGAAAAGCGTGTAGGAGAATATCAAAGGATGGGTGTGATGTCAAGTCCTGCAGATAATTCATTCACTTTGGATGCAGATTTCTAAAAGAAGTTAAGACTTTTTAGCTGGTTTGAAGTGACTGGCTAGTGGTTTGGGCCCATTATCTTCAAAATCCTTTTGTGTTGGTAATGTGTGGTGGTACTTAAGGTAATCGTTCTAGCAAATTAAACAGAAAAATGCCAAAAAATTATAAAATGTGTTTTGTAACAAGCTATTCACATTTTTGGAAATACTAGCAATTGTAAAGTGGTATGTTCTGTTAACTAAAAACGAGATTTGCAGACTTGTTGCAGACTGATATAAATTGCAGCAATGCTGATGAACATGTAACCATAATGCCCCATACAAATTTTAAATATTTACTATTGTAATAGTTTGTACATAAACATAGCACTTTAAAGGTCTAGCCTATTGTTTCTCAAAAGGGCTGGTATTGTGAGTTTAGAATAAACTCTTTTAGTCTGCATTATCTTAATTTCTCTTACTTACATGTAAATTAAATCAGTGTACTGAAATGGAAACTTATTTGATATGTGTGTATTATTTTGGTGGAGTACTTTGTATAGAAGTAAAACTTCATTAAATTCTACTTTTCAAGCTGCTGGATCAAAATATTACTGAGTTGCTTTCTAAGTGAAAACGCCCCATCCCAAATTGGTTCTTCTGTTTACTTTTTATCATTAAAGGAGAATATTTGTAGCTTAGGGTTGAAATGAGTCCTTGGTGCTCTCTGAGCTTGCTTTGTTTTCTTGCAGATGTTTCGTTACCCTAACCAGGCAGCATCACCAGTGCTAGTAAGGAGTGCTGTTTGCTGTCAGTTTATATTCTGATGTCTTGTCTGTGGGTGGGTGGGGGGTGGTTTTAGGATTGACACCAGAATATAAACTGACAGCAAACACAACTCCTTACTAGCACTGATAATGCTACCTAGTTAGGGTAATGAAACATCTGCAAGAAAACAAGCTCAGAGAGCACCAAGGACCCCTTTTTATCATCTTTAGTAGAACTTTTCCTTTTTCACTTGTACTGAGACCATATTAATTTAGGATATAGTTCAAAAGCAGATTTGAATAGGGTGAGCTGCATGCTCCAAAACAACGGCCCCAGCAGTTTACATTGATCAGGCATACATACGGCTATATTAGCAGGTAGACAAAATCCTGCTAGTTTGCAATAGCTTATGAAATGTTTTATATCAGTGGTTCTCAACCTTTTTAATGCCGCGACCCCCAACCAGTCGTAAGTCAAGGACTACTCAACCGGTCATAAGTCGGATTACTCAACTGGTGCAGCACCATTTGCAGAATGGGACTTTTGGCGGGCTCAGCAGGGCAGAGACAGCCTGGACAATTCCTATTGGCTTTTGAAAGCCAATAGAATTAGACTCTATTCAAGAGAGTCTATTCTATTGGCTTTCAAAAGCCAATAGAATAAAAGGGAGTAAGGAAGGGGGGAAAAGGAAAAGGAAAAAAATGGTGGACTGCGTTGTTTGGCGACCCCCGTGAAATGGTCGTTCGACCCCAAATGGGGTCCTGACCCACAGGTTGAGAATCACTGTTTTATATGATATCTGTGCTTAACTTGTATAATTTCTCCAACATCAAGCAGATGCTGATGAAACGTTATTTTTCAACATCTGAAAGAAACCTAATTTGGGAGGGCACCTCCTAATTTTTTTTTTCTGCACTGAAGAAATTAGAACATATGGAGAACTTAACAGATTGCCTTTAATGTATTCTTGTCACTACAAACATTTTTCTTTTCTTTTTTTAATGCAATTTTTAATTTATTAAATTTTAGTTTAACCAAGATGGCAGAGATAACACATCCAGATAGGGGGGAAAGTGGGGGGCTTTGAATATACTTGCCAAAGACCAGTGGGCTCACGCCACAGAGCAGCTGGTGCTACTACAGAAAGGATGCTTTTGGTGTTCCAATAGATGGCAGAGAAGTACAAAGGGAAGAAAACTTATGGGAAAAAAAGATCTATACTGTAAAAGATGTCTCCCCTGCCTTCAGACAAGTATAAAAAACTTGAATAACTTAACACCTAGTATTTCAATAAAAAAGATCTCTTCCCATGACTCATCTCTTATTAATCAAATTGTAAAAACTGGTCATTGAGTCCTAATCAGCAAAGGTCTGTTAAGAGCTATCAGAAATAGTAGCGTGTGCACACACACACACACACAACCTACTCCGATCATTTTTATATTGCAATTTACCACTTTCCCTAAGAAAAAGCAAAAGAAACCTCCATTTATAAACAGATCTTTATATTCTCTTCCTTCAATCCTGATAAAAAAGAAACTCCATTAATAACTACCAGAATCCACACCATATATATTTAATCCTAGTTAAATTTCCTTATGTTTACTTTTAAAAAGCCTTGATCTTTAATCTTGCCAATATCCCCAGATTAATTTCTTATAATTTTCTCTTAACTCCTTTCAGCTTCAATAGTTGAACATGTCTCTAGTAAATCCAAAATCTTTCCAAAATATACTTCTGATTTATTATTTGTCCCCTTTAGTTATTAAGATATCAGCTGGTATCAAATATAAATCCATTTTATCCTTGTCCATATCACTCTTGTAACCTAGCATTTTAAAATCCATTTTCAGATCTACAGCATCTTTTTCCATCTCACTCTTGGAATCTGCTATCTTTAAAAATCCATTCTCAAATCCACATTCAAATCAACGTCAGTGTTTTATATAGTAAAATTGATATCTTGTCATGTGCATTTGTGTAGTTTTGGACAATCTTGTAAGTAATTTATGAATAAGTAAGAGCCAGTTTTGTGTAGTGGTTAAGGTACCAGGTTAGAGACTGGGGAAACAATCGGTTGAAGTCCCGCCTTAGCCATGAAAGCCAGCTGGATTGCTTTAGGCCAGTCGTTCTCTCAGCCCAACCCACTTCATGTGATTGTGGGGAAAATAAGAGGAAGAAGGTATGTATGCTGGGTATGTTCAACACCTTAAGAGTTATTTGTAAAAATAACAGGTGTGATACAAATTTCTGAATATAGGTAATCCATGATTTACGTCCTGCTTGGCGATCCTGCAAAATTACAACAGGCAGCCCCCAATAGTTAACTCAGTTTCAAAGTTATGGCTGCTGAAGTACCTCTACATTCATTTGTCCCCTGCCTATTTGTTGTCATCCCACCCTGCTGGATTCCTGCAGGCCATTGGCCTGCTTCCCACCCAATGGGACCTCACTGCCCCATCTCTGCACACTTATCCTTGGAATATCTCCAGAGTTCACACTGGGGAAGGAGGGCAGCCCTCTTTGTTTCCCTATTGTGGCCACTCCAAAAATAGTGTCTGCTTTGGGGACGAAGCAATGCAGCCTAAGGATGCAACCTTTGCAGACCTGTTTTCCATTGTTTCCCCCAGAAGTCTGCAGGTCCACTTTTGATCTACACACAGGCTCTTACTAGCCTAGGAGGGTAACACAAATGCCAGCTGGTAAATTTATGTGTATCGTTTTCCTACAATGTATTTTAAAAGATGTGTTTAGAAATGAAAAAGGGCAAAGTAATGTTTATGTAATGAATGTATATTTTTGCTACATATCTTTGCAACTTGGATATTTAAACTTGTCTATATGATAATATATTTTTTAGAAGAAATTGCTGACCAACAGAATTTTCAGACAGAATAATAACCAGCCAATTTCACAAGTCAAATGATGTATGAAAATCAGAAGAGTCTCAGTGTGCCAGAAGCTGAGAAGAATAATCCATTAGAGCAGGGGTCTGCAACCTTAAACACTCAAAGAGCCATTTGAACCCGTTTCCCAGAGAAAACAAAACACTGGGAGCTGCGAGGGGGGGAGCTTGATTGAAGAGTTTAATTAAAAAGAAATAGAGGCTGCTGTGCATGAGTTCTCTTTCCTCTCCCTCCCTCTCTTTCCTCTCCCTCTCTATTTCTCTCTTTCCTCTCCCTCTCCTCTCTCTCTCCTCTCCCTCTCTTCTCTCTCTCTCTCTCTTTCCCTCTCCGATCTGCTCACCTGGCAAGCTGGCTTCAAGCTGTTCTCCAACAAGCTGACACATGGGCTGGCTGTCTCCTGCCCTTCCTGCTTCCTACAGAGATGCAGCAAAGGAAGGAGCCCCGCCCAATAAGCTTGTCAGCTCGTTGGAACAGCGTGAGGCCACTCTCTTTTTTACACACAGACACAGAAGGGAAGTGCAAGTGCCTCTCTCTGTCTCTGTCTCTCTCTGCAAATGGCAGAGGAGGCTTGGAGCCGCAGGAGAAGGCTCAAAGCCGCATGCAGCTCCCGAGCCGCTGGTTGGCGACCCATGCATTAGAGGGTCCTTGCATTGTATTCACTTACTGGGGAATCTAACTTAGGCCTTGTTAGGTATTTCTATCAGACCAGAACTGATTAAAGCTGTTGACCAAGATGTGTTGGACAAATGATGTCTAGACACGGAATCTGTGGTTGTCAAGATGTTGCTATTCGAACAACCTTCCATTCTGACTGATGATAGTTATGATATACCAGATTTGGAAAGCTGCAAGATTACAAACTTATCTTAAACCTATAGCAGGTTAGAAGCAGAGCACCGAACTCTGCATGCTATCCAATTATACTACTTAGTTTTTTTTTCTCATAATAATGATATGGTTGAGAAGCTTTGTTTTGAGGTATTGTAAGCATGCTGAAGAGATAGCTTAAAGCCAGTGGAAAATGTCGGAAAAAAATTACTGCAGTATCTTGTGCTAATTGATTAAGATTTGTGACTTCCCTTTTATCCCGTTTAAAGTTTTTTATTCCCACCCTCCTTTTTCCCCCACGTTTTAGTCATTGAGAGGTGTGTAGAGAGGCTTGAAATGAAAGAACTTCAAGCAGCCCAAAGAAACAACCACATTGTTTTTAACAGTTATACACAGAGGCATTTAGAAGCCAGAGAAACTGATCACTGCAGGACACATTTTATTAAAACCCCTAGCACCTCTGGAGCAGCAGATAAGAGTCCGAGAACCAATGAATGCTTATGCGCCCTTCGTCTTTTACATAATTCATGTCGCCTCAGAATAACCGGTTGCCCTCTGGATATAATAGAATGTCAAATGCAAAGGGGAATAAGCAGACCAGGAGACTATTTGCAAAACCTCACCTGCTGAACTGCCTTCTAAATAACAATCCTCTTCTATAGCCAATTCCTCCATTCAGGCTTGCTGAGGCCAATAACCCGGGATTAATTTTTACATTGCCTTTCCTTGTCCACAGTATCAGTATTGCGTTCGTTCCTCTGAATCTAGCTATGCCACACTTCCCTCTCACCTACTGTTTGTTGAACAGTGATGTGGGACTGCTATTGATGATGAACGGGGCTGGTAATTTGGGGTTGATTGGGACATTAGTTGATTCCAGGTTGCTGGTTTATGGTTGGGGCTCTATTCATCTATAGCAGTGGTGGCGAACCTATGGCACGGGTGCCAGAGGTGGCACTCAGAGCCCTCTCTGGGCACGCACGCCGTCGCCCCAGTCCTAGGTCTTCAGCTGGGTTTTATAAAACCTTTTCGCTTTAGGTCTCCGCAGCCGTGTGCAAAAAAAAAAAAAAAGGTTCAATCAATCAGTCAATTTC